AACATCTAGCTTCAACAGAAGGTAGAAACGAAGAGTACAAAGTAATGATTAAAATGACTCAAGAGGGAGCCTAATTCATCACGTAATGGTGAAAGATGTGACAGCTTGTCTGTTATGATTGTTTTTGATGAGGAAAGTCTACCATCTAAGGTATATATAGGTTATATGTGCTACGATGTCAAACATGTTCCCCCACCTCTGAGGTGCTTTAAGTGTCAAAAATATGGACATGTAGCAGCTGTATGTAAGGGCAAACAAAGGTGTGGAAGATGCGGTGGTGAACATGAGTACGGGAAATGCGTAAATGGAGCTAAGCTAAAATGCTGTAACTGTGGAGGAGAACACAGCTCAGCCTACAGGGGATGTGAGGCTAGTAAGAGAGCTTTAGAAATACAGAGAATTAAAACATCAGAAGGGATAACATACGCTGAAGCAACCAAGAGAGTAGGTTGGCAACCAGACAGACCAAACAATAAACAAGTTAGTGCAGAATGTAAAAAGTCAAGAACATGTGAGGGATGTGACAAAATCAAGGAAGACACTATGATGGCGGGGAAAAATGAGTTTGTTTTGTTTATGGTTGAAGTGGTCTGCTCTGCGCAAACAGAGAAGAAAAAAAATCTAAATAATAGTTAAAGCAGCAGAAAAGTACTTGGGAATCAAGGGGTTAGTGTGGGAGGAGGTTGAGGAACAACAAGCCCACAAGCACTGTCATGGGGTGGTGGATCTTCATGATCCTAACTATACTGCAATGGAATGCAAGAAGTCTAATTGCTAATGGACAGGAATTTAAGCATTTTATCTCAAACCTCCAAGATAAACCCAATATTATATGCATACAGGAAACATGGCTAAAACCACAATGGGACTTTGTAATTCAGGGTTACACAGCAATTAGGAATGATGGCAACGTTTGTGCTAAATGGGACAAGGTTTAGTTTGATGAGCGTAGGAAAAGAGCATGAAGCAATAGTAGTCAAAAGCTGGACAGGAAGAGATGAACTAACAATAATTAATTTTTATAACCCTTGCAATAGATTAAATATAGACACATTGAATACTGTGGGTGGGCAAACACAGGATAAAGTGGTCTGGTGCGGTGATTTAAATGCACATAGTACACTGTGGGGAAGTAAAAAGACAGATACTAATGGATTAATCATAGAGGAATTAATTGTGGATAAGGGATTAGTTTGCATGAATGATGAAAGTGGCACCAGATATAACAGTGTTCAAAATACAGAAAGTGCAATTGATTTAACATTAGTATTGCAGGGAGTAGCAGGCATTACCACATGGGAGGTGTTAAATACATCATCAGGAGGTAGTGATCACTACCCTATAATAGTTAAGATCGGAGTAGAGATACATCATGAGGAAAACTCAAGAATAAAAAGGTGGAAACTAGATGGAGCAGATTGGGACACATTTCAAAAATTATGTAAAAATAAATGTGAGAGTTTAATCCGAGAAGATTTATCAGATGGGGACCAATGTAATAAAAAGTTGGTGGGAGTCATTATAAATGCAGCAGAGGAAACGATACCAAGAAGTACAGGGAGCAGAGTGAAAAAGAATGTACCATGGTGGGACGTAAATTGTAGCAAAGCCAATAAAAGAAGAAACAAGGCATTTAGGCAGTTAAAAAAACATCATTCACTAGAGACATTAATTATTTACAAAAGATCACAGGCCACAGTCCGGAAGACTATAAGAGCAACAAAACGTGCATACTGGAGGGATTACAGCAATAAGATTGGAAGAGAGACATCACTGGCCGATATATGGGGAATGGTTAGAAAAATGAGTGGAATCAGAAGGAGAATACCAGTCTTAATAAGTGGCAATAAAACAGCAATCAGTAATGTGGAGAAGGTAGAAATGTTGGCAGAAACATTAGTTAAAGTACACAGTTCAGATAATTTATTAGTCGAAGCCAGAAAGTGCAGAGATAACACTCTTGCCATGAACCCAGGTGTCAATATACAGAAGAGCACAACAACTGATGATTTAGATTGATGTCTATGAAGATTCTCAGTCATCCAGGTCATAGTTATCCAACGAAGGTTAAAATCAAGGGCAACTGGACTTGGTTGAAGATACTGGAAGACGTTTCGTCCCTCATCCAAAGGACTTCTTCAGTTCTGACTGACTGGCAGGGAAACTCAGCTATTTAACCTCAGTGGGGCCGTTGGCCCGGGTCATCGATACCGCTGGTTCGTTAGTGTTCCTTGTTGCTGTGACGACAGTCATTACAGTCGTTAAGACTACCTGTGGCCAAGACTGAACGACCATCGTTGGTATCTTCACCTGAGGACAATAGGTTACGTTTGTTGATTTTCCTGGGAAGTGATGAAAGGACAGCATTGTAAGTGGGGGATAAGTGGTGGCGTAGACCCCCTCCCCTGTTCAATGACGGCTTCTCCACCTTGGTGTAGATGGCTTCCTTGACACCTCTTTCAAACCATCCATCTTCTCTGTCTAAAATGTGCACCATTTAGCTTATTTGAGTTAAGGAGGGCTATCTCAAAGACAAGACAATCATCTCCAGGGAAGGACAACATCTGTTATAGCGTGTTAGCTCACTTGGAAGATAGTGCACTTACTGTAGTTTTAAGATTATTTAACCAGATTTGGGAAACAGGCAAAATACCAATAGCATGGAAACAATCAATCATAGTACCAATAGTAAAACCTGGGGAAGATCCATCAGACCCCTCAAATTATAGACCAATAGCACTCACATCACATTTGGGAAAAACCATGGAACATATGATAACAGACAGATTAACATTCTTTCTAGAAAGCAGAAATCTGTACTCACCATATCAAAGTGGGTTTTGGAAAGGGAGAAATACAATGGACTCTATTTTATGTTTGGAATCTGAAATCAAAAAAGCTCAGACAAATGGGGAGATTGTGGTAGCTGTTTTTTTTTTATATGGAAAAAGCATACGATATGTTATGGAAGGAAGGGTTACTTATCAAATTAAATAAATTAGGTATAGGTGGTAGACTGTACAACTGGGTGTTGGACTTCTTATTTGGCATGGCAATAGAGGTCAGGGTGGGCACAGAATATTCAAGACTCTATAAAGTTGAAAATGGTACTCCACAAAGCAGTGTGTGTAGTCCAGTACTATTTAACATCATGATCAATGATATTTTTGAAAAAGTGGAAAGAAGTATTGGGAAGTCCTTGTATGCAGACGATGGGGCCCTGTGGGTAAGAGGACAGAATTTGAAATTTATTCAGAAAAAATTACAGACAGCAATTGTGGAGGTAGAACAGTGGGCAAATAACTGGGGTTTTAAGGTGTCGGGTGCAAAGACACAAGTGATATGTTTTTCCAGGAGACATAAAGAAGTGTCCTTAAAATTATATGATCAAACCCTCGAACAAGTAAAAGTTATCAGACTGTTAGCAGTGTTGTTTGATGAAAAGTTGACCTGGAAACAGCAAACTGATAAGGTCAAAGACAAATGCAAAAAAATCAATAACCTTTTAAGATGTCTGTCAGGAAGGGACTGGGGGGCCACTACAACATCATTGCTTAAAATATACCAGACCTTGATGAGATCTACACTAGATTATGGATGTATAGCATATATCTCAGCAGCAGAATGCCATCTTAAAAAACTAGATGTGGAACAGGCACAAGCTTTAAGGACATGCAGCGGAGCATTGAAGACCTCTCCAGTGGCTGCCATGCAAGAATTATGCTAACATACTGGACTAATCTTCAGGGACACTGTTGCTCTTACCCCGCTAAAGCCATCCTAGAAAAATGTTGGGAACACAATAAGAGCAGCTGTTTCGAATGGGTGGGAAATGTGAAAGCAGAAAGTCTTGACCTGTGCAGTATAAAATATATATCCCAGTAGTCCCATATCCAGATCTTCCTCCGTGTTTTTTTGTAAATCCATCCATTGACCTGCATATACAGCAAATAATCAAAAAAGAAATCCAAGCAAGCACACACGGGAAGAATAGCAGAAAGTTACATAGAGCAGCACTATAGAGATAACCACATGGTCTTTACTGATGACTCTAAAGATCCAGAGACCGGACGGACAGGAGCTGCCATATACATCCCAGCATACAAAATAGGCATTAAAAAGAGAACCCCAGATCATCTATCGGTATATACAGTTGAGCTTATGGCCATTTTGATGGCATTACAGTGGATAGAAGAAAATAAGGAAAGCAAGGTGGTCATTGCATCAGATAGCTGGGCAGCGCTCACCAGTATTAAATCTGTTAAGTCCTGTAGGCTAGATCTGGTATTTAGTATTCATAGCTCTCTATGTAGATTATATCATAAGGGCTGGACTGTCTGCTTTGTTTGGGTTCGTGCCCATTTAGGGGTAGAAGGAATTGAAGATGCTGATATTCTGGCAAAACAAGCACTTAAATCAAAGTCAGTTGATATACAAGTTCCGCTAAGTAAATCTGAAGCTAAAACAATCATTAAAGAGAAAATGCAAAAAATATGGCAAGAATACTGGGAACTAAATGAAACTGGAAGACATCTTTACAGTATACAGAATCATGTTGGTCTGGGAAGAAAACTAGGTGGGTGCCGGAAGACAGAGACCGTCATTACCCGTCTAAGAATAGGACACACAGGGCTTAACCATTCACTTTATAAAATAGGTAAACACCCAACTGGACACTGTGTAAAATGTAGTAGTATAGAGACCATTCAACATGTGCTGGTTGAGTGTAGAGGCTATGTAGAGGCGAGGAGGAAAATAGCAGCAGTTATAGAGAAAGCTGAGCTTAGGTTCACTGTCGAGAACCTCCTTGGGGATAAAGCATGGGGAATATCAAAGCATCTCATTAAATATCTGAAAGAAACGGGATTAATGGAAAGGATATAGGTTTTCAAGTTTTATTTATTTAATTTTTTTGTTTGTTTGTTTTTTGTTCTATTTGTTTATTTGGTTTTTATGTTAGTCTGCACATAATCTGTTCCACACTACAGTCCGGTAGGTGGCGGTAATGCTCCTAAATGCTGGCTGCCAACCGCCAATCATATCAAAAGAAGAAGAAGAAGAAGAAGAAGTCTGGTCTCAGGCATTCCGAGTCTTCCCAGCATCCTTTGCGCGCCGACGTGGGAGGACATCTTTCCGGAGAGGACCGAGGACACATCAAGAAACGTCCCAAGGTTAGCTGCCTATAACTTCAACATTTGATGTTATTCTTTTGTTTGTTTGAACCAACTTTAAGTGTATTTCTAATATGTTGACCTACAAAACGTCTCAGAACAACTTGCCGTTCTCAAATGTGTTGGCTAACAATCACACCCAGAAACAAGCTAGTAGCTATAACGTTAGCTAACTGAGTGAACACTTTGCCAAGCAGTGTAAAATGTGCTAAGTTAACTTGTTGTCAAAGAGGTCGTGTTACGGTTCTAATACGTGGTTCTGTCAAGTTGGATAGCTAGTTTGCTTATATATGCTTAGGTCTGATAACAAATTAGCATTGAGTAACGTTAGCGACAAAAGCGTAAACAAAGGTAACCTACATTTAACTTTCGACCATAGTGCTATTTTTAGCTTAGACAGCTAACATTGAGCATTGTGTGGATGTTACACTGGAAGCTGTCAGATAGCTGTCATTTAACGTGTATTTGTAGACCTGTTGCAACTGTAGCTTTAAGTTAATCCACGCTGTGCCTTGTTTCAGTACCTTTTAGGCGTCTGTTTTAAGATTGTAAAGATGTCTGAAAATATCGATGAGAAGATCAGGAGCTACAGGACTGCTCCCTTTGACGCCCGATTTCCCAACACCAACCAGACCCGCAACTGTTTCCAGAACTACCTGGGTGAGGACATGGATCAATATGTTGTGATCAGTAGCTCATAAGACTTTTTAAACAGTGTTTGAACGTCGTATATTAGTATAGACGCTACAGAAGGAAAACTGAGAGGTGCCTGAACTTGTCATTGTGTTTATAATTAGTTATCACGTTACACTTGTGCTAACATGTAAGTGACAAACTGCATGGAAAGTTGTATCAATTCACTTACAGTTATATTCGTAATTTATTACTTGTGCACCAATAAAATAGACTTAAGCAGCAGTACTTTCAGCAAGTCTGTGGTTGTTGTTCGTTTTTTTTTTTTTCAAAATCGTTGTATACATAGTGTGTAGTGAACAATAAGATAGTTGACACAAGTTTTAAGCTTTTGTTAACTGTCTACATTTTCACATGAAAAGGTGCTTAAATTACCTCCACAGAACACTGGTAGTTTTAAACAACATAATTCAGTTCAGTGACCCTGAACCACCAGATTATTATAAATAAATGCTTATAATCGTTAAACCCACACATAACTTATCTGATTATACTGTCTAATAGTATACCTAAAATGTGATGCTGAATAAGAGGGAAATGTGTATAAAATTGTGCAGTGTGCAGTACAGTGTTTCCCCTAGGATGGAGTTGTAGCAGCACAGGTGAAGCGAAACCATTTTTTTTGTGCGCATAGTGCGTAGTATGTCTGAATATAAAACCCCAACACAACATGTCTTAGCAGCATTGCTCTTGTGTCCATGAGCATGCAATACACATTGGAAAAGCTTATAATTTCAGCGTTTTGCCATAGCTTTATATGAGATGAATGTTTTGGTGGTGGTCATAGTAGTCATGGGCATTTATCATTTTCCAAAGATAAATATGTAATTTCGCATCATATTGGGACATTATTTTGACCATATCTCTGAACAAATGGTTGAAACAGCACCCAATTATGATGCTCTCCACAGTGATTTTACATTTATGGCACAGCATGTTTTGGGCATCACCCCCTAAGCCTTAACAGCAGGAAAACCCTGTTCATATGACCTCAGAATCATTATTGGTAGGATTGTTCATGTTTGCCTTTTGTGTCTTCATTTTACAGCTTTGACATTGATCTGTAGACATTAATATAAAAAATAAGCAACATGAGACACCACCTCACTTCAGAGGTGGATTTTATTTTCACATTGAAATCCAAAAAGAAACGTCTCCTCATTAGCTTACAAGGACTAGTTTGCATCACTAATTAGCTTTACTAACCTCAGCTCCTCCAGTCACCTCCGTCCTTTCTTTTCCTAACAACCACTTTTTCAGACCCATCTGAAAACTGAAAAAAAAATTAGGATGAACCAGTCTGTATTGTCACTAACCAGTTTAGTTTGTACCTGATGATTTCAACATTGGACAAGCAGGTAGTAATAAAATACAGATACCAGTTACGTTATATGTTTGAGCTAATGTTAAGTTACATAGCAGCCAAAAGACACAGACTACTACAGAAGCTTTCCTGCTCAGCTGCACAGTCTGAGCTTGCACAGTGTGTGAGTAGCACACTGATTTAATAATGATTGTGTGAAATTTTAGTAGCGGCGGTCACAATTCAGCAGCGGCGCACCGCCACTCCTGAATGCATATAGGGGAAACACTGAAATATAGGCCAATTGTATTCATGGCATTTGAAAAATGCCTCCCCTTAATAACCTAGTAAGCTTAAAAAAAAAAAGAAGAATTATGTTGAAGATAGTTTTACTCTCTGCCTCACATTGAAGCTTCAGCAAGCTAAGCTCTAGTTGTACAGTTGTTCTAGCAAGACTGGGCATGGTCTTTTTTTAGTGTGAACATTGTGTCCGTTACTTTGAACACTTGTTATTTTTTGCTCTAGACTTCCATAGGTGCAACAAGGCCCTGTCAGCCAAAGACCAGGATGTGGCTCCATGTGACTGGTACCAGAGGGTTTACAAGAGCCTCTGTCCCATGAGCTGGGTAAGTGATAGGATTGCAATTATGGTAGTTCCTCAGCATGTGCGTGTGTCTTATTGGAGAATGGACCACTACGTTTTCTGATAGTTTGATTGGAAATTTTTCTGTGCACACACTGAATGTTGTTAGCGCTGAATGACCAAGGCTAGCTGATGTAGCCCAGACAGGCTCATTGTTTTCCTGGTTCTTGGTATTCTGTTTCATGGGCTTGGTTTTTCTCATCTATGGTCATCTATGGTATGTTTTGTTGGGTGAGGTATTGCTTCATTTTGTTCTGTAATTTTTGGTTGGTTACCTCTTGTTAGTCTCTTGGAGTTTGATTTCTTTGAGACATACATTAATTAAGTTAATGATGTCATTTTCTGTCTACAAGGGATTGACAGGAAACTATTGTAGGTGTAAATAACAAACTCTAACTCGAGGGTTAGTTTGTTGTCAGATGGAGCTAATGTTTTCTTTGATATCTCCCTCAGGTTGCCAAATGGGATGAGCAGATAGAGAATGGAAGTTTCCCAGGGAAGGTCTGAAATCGCCAGGCCGTTGGTCATCAGGACAGTCCACTGCAGGACATTCTGTTACTTGCACGTTTACCTCGGTAGTGTGCCTAAGGACATCTTCAAACAGCTATCACATCATCTTTGATATTACTGTTACTAACTTAAACTAGAAACACGCACAACTTTTTACCCTGCATGTAAAGGTCTAAAGCTTGTTTCCTGTCTTGACTGTAAATTACTTTTCAGAATTGTTTAATCAATAAATGCAGTGCTAAATTCATTAAAAGGATGTTGTTCATTATATACTTTTAGTACTTTTATATTGGATTTACTGATTTACTTTCAAATCAGAAAAACTTTTTTTTTTTTCTGTCTGGTTGGCTGCTACTGAAGTTAAGTTAGTTATGTGCATGGAAACTGGTTCTGTATTTGAATTTTGTTGTCACCATTAACATTTTCATCTTAACTTCAAGAGCCCTGGAAGTCTCTCTGGATTAGCGAACATAGCCTTCAGCTTTCCTGATAATTGTATTTACACCAAAGATAAATTTACACAGTAATCAGTTAAGTGTTTATGTAGTCCCCTCTGAAACATCCCTCAGGTCTGTGCTATGAAAACCAAACTAGAAACCGGTTTCCTGGAGGGTGGCGGTGGCAGTGGCGATGACGGTGGTGCTCATTTTCATCTGTATCTCCATGGCTGAACATCTTAACTGTTATGATTAAGATTATTAATGTTGGGTAACTGAGTCCTCAGGATCAAATATTTGTGGATTTATAAATATTGATTTAGTGTTCTGAGTCTGTGCTGCAACCAAAGGAAGCTGATCATTTGGCTGGATAGGCTGTGCTGACATGAAGTTGGTGCTACACATTTGTACAGTTTTACTGAATGGAGTCAAGTCTGGAAACCACATCATTAGGTTACTGGATTGTACTCAAGAAAACTTTATTATCATTTAGACTATACACAGGACAAGTGCACAGTAGAACAAAATTATGTTGTATCCAGCTCACCAAGGAAATTGAAAAATACTATTTGAACTAACTGACAAAGGTTAATATATTAGTGTACTATAAACAGACAAGGGTACATTGCATACATTGAATAAAATTGTACATCTGAGTAAAATGCACATTAGGTTAAAAGCTGTCATGTGGAAGTGCACATAATTTACTTGGCATCCTCTAGTTTCTTAAACAGAAGTAGAAGAATGTCAATGATATGACCATTTATAGTAGGCCTATCTATCCTTTGAGATGACTCCTTTCAACAATAACACAAATGAAGGCTTTACTTAATTACCAAAAATGTTCCTCATTGAATTTTATCATTCATTACATAGATATGTTTAATACTTGTTTCATGTCATTGTTTTCTTCATGTTGTGGTGGTTGACTTTGACCTTGAGGTTCATTAGTAACAGGGTGATTTAATGAAGTGCATTGTGTTACAGTTTGTATTAGATTCTCAGTGTGTACTCTTACGCCCTCAGGGCACAGTTGTAATGTTCCTTTGATTATCATCAGCTCCCTGCATCCTCCCTTTGGCAACCTTTCACCTCAGCTGTGCTATAACACGACCTGACACGCCAGAAAGAGATCCCGAAAACAGAAGTAAATACAGTAAAAAATGTACAACTGTTTTCATAAGATTGTGACTTCCCAGAGGACTGTGAATGTAAGTGTGGGAGTTCATCTGGTCTGGGTCATGTGTCAGCATGAGGCAATGGCAATCCATAAACACAAGGTGGTGCTGTTGCTCCACATTTACATGAGTAAAGCCTACAGTAGACCATCCTTCTGTAATCCATCTGAACCCGTTGACCCTGAACCACCAGACTATTATTAGAAATACATGCTTATAATCGTTAAACCCACACATAACTTATATGATTATACTGTATAAAAGTATACCTAAAATGTGATGCTGAACAAGAGGGAAATGTGTATAAGATTGCGCAAACATTTACAGTTCTCCAAATTGATGCAATAATGCAGCCATTTTAAACACAACTTTTCTGCGTTTGAATCTTTTTGGTCAACATAATGAAGTGTTGAAATATTCAAATTATGAGTAGTGAAGTGTGGAAGGGAGTCTTTTAGACTTTTCTTTTAAGCTACCTAGCAGGAAGTTTTAGGGGGAGAGCGTTGGTTTTAGAGGTTCATTGTGTTTGTCAATGCTTTTGAAAAACATGATGGTTATTGGCTGATAGAAAACATTTTCAAATAAAAGCTTAAAAGAATGACTATTATCACAATAAGCAAAACAAGTGAATGAACTGGCTATGAATTTACATACATGGCAACATTTTTCATTTTATTCTAAAGCTTTGAGCTCAGGCTACAGGATGTGGTTTGTAATGGTCTCTCTCTCTTTGTGTTTCATGTTTTTATATCCCGATGGGGACTTTAGCCTGAATGCACACAAACCAATGAGGATTCACGTCACTGTGGGGACATCTAGTAGAGACTGCTTTTTGAGGGCTAAGACTTAATTTTAGGGTTCAGGTTACAATTGGATTGAGGTTAGGCACAGGGTAAGGGTTAAGGTTAGGCATGTAGTTGTGATGGGTAGGGAAAGGGGCTAGGGAATGCATTATGTTAATGACAGGCCCCCACAAAGATAGTACCACGATGTGTGTGTGTGTGTGGCTACCTTCGAGGACATATTTCAGACTAAAGACCAGTTAATTGGGGATGGCTTGTCCAACTGGGGACAAAAGCTGTCTCCCCTATTGTGGAAAAGATGATTTTTGGGTCAGTGGTTAAGGTTATGGTAAGGGCAAGTAGTAGTTATGTTTAGGTTAGGGTTAGTCTCCAGGAAGTGAAAGAAAGTCTATGTAATGTCCCCAAAAGTGACCTAAGTAAATGTGTGTGGACATAAATCGGTTTGTGGGTACTTGCCTTCCTTTTGGGGACAAAATGCGAGTTCCCGCAAAGAAGTTGTTACGCTTCAAGGTGAGGACTTGGTTAAGGGTCAGGGTAAGGTTAAGGAGGTTAAGGTAGGGCATGTAATGATTATGGTTAAGGTTAGGATCATTCTCCAGGAAGTTAATATATTTGTGTGTGTGTGTGTGTGTGTGTGTGTGTGTTTGACAGACAGACAGAGTGGGTGCATCTACCTTTCCTCACTTTCTTTTCCCCTCTTTCTCTCTCTGTCTCGCTCCCTGTGTATCTGTGACATCTCTTTGCAAATGTCTTAAAATTTGATTAGCTCACTTCAACCAGGTCACTGGAGGAGCTGCTGTGGTATCGGTTTCCTTGGCAACGGCTCACAGGATCCAGATGTGATGCTGGGAGAGAGAGGTGCAGTTTCTGAAGAATTAAGAATATTGTTGCAAACACTAAGGGGCACTGAACCTGAACATGTGCACATACCTCCCTCTCTGTTACTTCCTCTTTTTATTTTAAGAGTTTGCTTGGTAATTTCAACAGAATTTTGACTTCAACTGAATTAAATCATCATAAAAAAAGGAAGGAGCTATCTACAAATGTTCATCGTGTAAAGTCATTGTTACAAAAGATTTCCTGTCCCCCCCCCCCCCCCATTGCGCTCTGGCTATCAACTGCACATTTCCTGTCAGTGTGCAGGACGCTTTTAAGTTTATAGATCTTCATTTTTGGGAAATATATTTTAAATGAAATAAATGTAACGTGAAAAAATCTAATTTTACATACTTTTATTTACTGACTTATATTTTTGGTATCTGGTCATAATCTTCTGGTGTTTGTGCTTCTAAATCCCTTCAGGGATGATACTGATGTGCTTTCACATCTTTAAGTTGTTTGGGCTGATGTTGAGCTAGATGATTTCTGTTTTTAAAATACATTTCAAAACATTCAAGCCTACCCCTAAATAAGAAAATCGATTAATTGAACAGCTCCTCGAAACACTTTTTCCTGTTTGCATCATAGTGACTCTTCCTGTCTTGTACAAGTGAATTCTCAAAATTATAATGCAATGTGTAAGCTAATGGATGTGTCATAAGAAGCCACAGAGATGAGCTAATAAAAGTTGAAAGGGGTACCACCCAGGTGTATTGTTAAAATATTCTCCCTTTCATGGGGTCACATGCTATTTTAAAACATACTGGAATAATTTTATTTTGTTGATCATCAAAATAGAAAAACAAATAAGTAAGTAAATGACTAATCAATCTATTGTGAGGTCTGAAGTCAACAATTAGGCCTAACCAGGTTCCAGTTATTCAGCACAGGAATAAATATGTGTATTTATGTGCAACTAGACTGTTATCTAGGCAGCATTCACATGATCAAATGATTAAATGTTAACTGGAAAAAAACCTTAAAGCCTAATCATCAGCTTTAACAGAGTGAGCTGCTGGTGTTTGTGGGTTTTAGCAATCTGGGAGCTAATTCCACTTCTTGGACTCCTGACTACTTTTAAGTCAACCAAAAAATACAAAGAAAAATGGATTCAGCATCTCCCACCAGTTTTTTTCTCGCATTTTAAGTTCTACAGATGTTCATGTTGAAAATAGGCTACATTTTACAGACAATAGAACTGGACTACATGAACATGAAAAATTATATGAGGTTACTTTCATACACTTTTATTTTTTTTCCTACCTGGTGATAATGTTCCAGGGTCTGTACTCCTTTCTACCCAGGGATGATACTGATCACATATTTAAGTTGTTTGTGTGTTGAGATCTCTTTAAAAAAAAATACATTTCAAGACAATTAGGCCTGCCACTAAACCAGAAAAATAAATAAATTCACATTTAAGTTAAATGATAAATTGTCACACAAACCCAAGAACAGACTCAAGCTCTGCGCGTCCAATTAAAATTGTCGATGAGAATCTAATTAAAATGTAGGCTACAATAAAATAGGAAGCCAAACTGCTCACCAAGTGGATTTAAAAACCCTGCTCACTCCCATTTTTATGGAAAACTTGTCAAATTCCAGACTGGGATTTAGGTGGGTTGTGAAGTTTATATATATGAAGAATTAGGAGGGCTCCTCGTTTGTTTGCAACCCACTGAGCCGGTCTCATGATTTCTGCATGACCAGGCTTTGTATCTGAACTGCGCGAATATTGGCTTTTGTTCTCGCGCCCCCGGTAGGCAGCCGACGGGCCCGCATCAGCACAGAGGCTCCTTTCACCGGCACCGTTTTGTTCTCCGTCGGCTGTACGCTCGCCCGAGCACGTACCCCTTCTTCAGCTGAGCGGAAATGCATCTGTCCCGCCGCCACACACATTACGACATGAGACGAGTATACCCGAAGTGACGCGACAGGATGGATTTTTTCTGCGCTTATACGCATGCGGGGGCTTCCACGAAGTATGAGTAAAGTCGATGAACGTGCAGGTGATCTTGTACCACCCTCTATAAGATCACACAGATGGGAGGGAGGATTGAACTTTTGTCAAAGCAAACTGACCTGGACTATCAGTTTACTGGATCTAAGGCCGGCACAAATCCCAAATAACGGTAAATAAACAATGATTTTTATCCATCATGCCGATTTATTCACTTACTTTGTTACTTAAAAAAATTTGAGGTGCCGAATTCCATGTCTGCATTTTATTATCACATTGTCGAATTAAAGCACTGCGCGTATTGTTAGTAAAAGTAGAAGAAAGTAGAATTATTGGCATAGAAAACTTCACTTGATCAGCACAGCATCACCTGCAGTTCCATCGCATCACTGTGGGTTATTATAGCCTCTGTAACCCATTTAAATGGTGTTTTATGCTTTGTATTGATAAAAATAAGCAATGCGACAGTAATTTAATTGGAAAAGAAGGGAGTTACATCACTTTTTCTCTTTTGATTTCATAATTAGTGAGAGCAGAAGAGGAGGATACGGAAGCAGAGGGAGGGATTTTGGGCACTGACTCCTTTTGTATTCACTGAGTGCAGACAAGTGCTTCAGATATCTGGGCCGCAGAGTGCTCTGCACTGTAGCTTACACTTTTTACTGGTGTTAGCATTATAACTGGAAAGGGTAATAGTTTCTGTTATAACCCAGGACCATTTTAATATTATGATGCTGAATATGTTTAGATTCTTGAAACATTTACTCCAGAAAAATTGTAATGAATGTTTGCTACAAGATTGTCACATATTTCTCTTGTGTTTTTCTTTGTATATTTTCAGGTTTTTCTGCTTTCTAGGTGTGTGCTCATAACGGATAAGAGGCAGCTCTGTTCAAGAGGCTTCAGTTTGCGATCTGAAGTTTTGCTGTAGTTTTCTTCTGAAGATCTTATATCAAGCAGCAAAGATGGAGCGGATGGAAGACGAAAAGGTAGCCTTTAAACTTTGCACATATGACACTGGTTTTTCCACACGTTACTGTAATTGTCCCAGACACAAACACATTATTTCAGGCTGTCTGTTATAATTCCCAGTGGCTCCTGGGCATGAGTGTCGGCCATTGTTTGCTTTATTCTGAGCCTGAGGCAACACCTTCTGATGCATAAAATCTTTACGAGTCACAGGCTGGCAATTCTGTATTTTTCCTTTCTGGCAAGAGCGGGAACTGGTGATGATGATGTTGAGCACTTCAGGACATGACTAAGAGAGACAGAGTAGGAGACGGGGAGGTTGGGTGGCAAGTTTGAACTTGCGTGTGATTTAGTTTCTGGCTTTTATTTGTGCTGTGAAATGTTGAACTTGCACACACATTCTTTCTTCTATATTGTAAAATATATGACTAACGATTTTGCCTGCTACCATGTAGTGCGGTTTGTCTTTTGAAATGCATTGATTGCAATAGTTGCTCCATTTCCATGGCTGTTACTTGAGATTTTCACATCATCTGTGCTGAAGTAACAACCCCCCAAACCACAATGAACATCACCATGCACTGCATAAATGTTTGCACAAAATTTTCTTTCTATAGTGAAATAGTTTTCCTTTCAGAAAAATGTGGAAAGGGATTGCTGAAAAAGTCAAGTTTATGATAAAGAGACAAAGGAAATGGTCAATATAGTTTAAAAATATAAAAAGGGAGAAATAAAACTAATTTCCGTGAACATGTGGGAAAGAGAGGTTCTTAATAAAAGAGAGACGGGGACAGAGATTGCAAGTTGACAATGAATGTGGAGTCATTCTTCTGAATATTGAGATGATGAGCTGTTGAAATAAAGTAACTGCAGGTGTTTTTGAGCAGTTAATTTTTTATATATAAACATTTAATATCTGAACAAAAAATGAACCAAACACAAGTCCATAATTATCACATTATGAGAGTAAAGCTTAGAAACTGGAGACTGAGGTTTTAAAGTTAATGTTTGACTTTGGAAACAGCAAGAAAAGAACCTCATCACGCTGTCCTTTTAGTCATGGGGAGACATAGAGACAGGCTTTTTCCTGGCTCAAAATCACCAGGACCATCCTGATCACATAACCACACGTGCATGTGTACCGTGCTTTCACTGGCTTAAGCAAACACTTTTTAAAAGTATTTCTAATAATTATATGATTGGAGAAAATGACAGTTATGACATTAATGCATTTTTTATTTTTAAAAAAGGTACCCTGTTCAACATTAAAGCAACATTATGTAAGATTTTACATTTTGGCGCCCCTACAGTCATAAATAAGGAAAGCTGTACACGTACAACTGCAACGGTCAAAAACCAACAAGTTGACAACTTTTCTAACACAGCCAAACTCATGCCAAACAACACAAGAAAACGTTACAGCAAGAAGGTCAGGTTGGCATCTGTCTGGCATCCTTTCAGCTCTTTTAGCTAACGCCAACGAGTAAAAGCCAGTCCGATATTTACTCTTGTCTGGTCTCTTGCTCGGTCACTCTCTTTTTTTCTCTTCCTTACTTCCTCCGACAACATCTTCTTGGGTCTCTTCGCAGGCTCTGTCGTGATATCTATACTGAGGATACCAAGTTAGCAGCTTCTTATAGCTAGCTTGCTGAAGAGTCACTTTGGTGTGTGATTAGCATTATGCCACTTCCGCTGGATTCCAACGTCTAATGACCGAGTCAGTGTACTATCAAAATAATTTTTAAGCTGTTTTAGGATAAAATTTGTACATAATGTTGCTTTAAAAGGATGATGATCTGTCTGTGTGTGTCTGCTCCTCTCTCTGTTTAGATACAAATATGTGTAAAATTAACAAACAGCAATACTGTGACTGATACTATTTCTTAAAAAAAAAAAATAATAATTAGGCTTTATCGCCTTTATTTGAGATACAGGAAATGAGGGAGTGAGAGAGGAGGCGACATGTAGGAAAGGGCCGCAGGTTGGAATTGAACACTGGCCAATGCGATAAGGACTCAGCCTTGTGCATGGGGCGCATGCTCTAAGCTAACTGTGCGCTGACTGCTACTATTTCTAGTAATAGTGGATTGGTTGGAGGGACAGAGAAATCAAAAAGGATTGGCAAAAATGGGATGCATATTTCATCATTTATCAAATCATTATGATCATATATAATTGTTATTTGTATGGTTTATAGTAGATTATAAGTAAGTTTCTTGCCAGACTTGCGGCTGTACCTACACCGGCTCGTTCTACAGCCCAGTTGATTAGCTTCCAATTGATGAGCATTCATAGGAAGCTGGCAGCGCTTTGCAGATGCGTCAGATGTGTTTCCTGTGTGAAACATATAGTCAACGTTGATTATTTTAATTATTTTAATGGACTTAACTTATTTAACTAACTGACTTAACTGACTTAACTTATCTAAAGTAATCAAGCCATGATATTTTCCTAAACCTAACCAAGTAGTTTTGGTGCCTAAATCTAACCACACTGTGACCAGTTCACAGTGTGAAATACACAACCATTATTTCAAAAGTGTAACCGGATGTTGCATATTTATCATTGCTTACTTGACAGTGGAGCCCTTTGCGTATACGTGACGAGTAGGGAGTGAGAACGTCTTATCAGAAGTGTTACTTCCTCACATTCTGTTGATAATGTTAGTTCATTTTTGATTTTAGTTATTGTTTTTAACTACAATTCTGGCCATATCTTACACATTGTACCAGCTTCATACATTTGAGTTCTCAGTATTGTATTACTATTCCAATTTCTAGGCAGTTATTTTGTAATTAATTTTTGTTACATATTGATCATAACTTGTTTTAGTAGAATATCATACAATATGTTCAGTTGTAAACACAGATTTTAACCAGTATATGTATTCTACTACAAAGCATAACACAGCTGCAGATATTGAATAACATTATGTTGCTTGGCTTCTGATTTGACAAGTAAAACACACGCATATAAAACACACACAAGTGCACTAGAATGAACAAATACCTCACAAATTAACACATATAATGCTCCTTACTCATCGACCACTCCACTCCCTAAGTGGAGATGCTGCTATTGCAAGAGGCTGCTTTAACAGTACAATTGTCTAAATATGAATACACCAGCAATCGTTGGAGATGCAATTGACATGTCACATGCATACCCACACGCAGTTTTTTTTAGTTTCTTTGTATTTCCCCTTCACTATCCCTTTATCATGTATGCAGCACTTCCTTCCTGTGAGACACAGTGGGTTCAGCTTGTTTTAATCCTTATTATGAGAAAAGGCCATGATGTCTGTGAAGGTATTATTGGAGCAAAACAACTGAGCACCTGTGACAGTGGAGTTTGTAATTATAGAAAGTCTATATAAACATGTGTGTGTATCAGTAAATTTGAAGTCCCAGAGAAAAATACTTAAGAAACTCATACACTGCTTTGCTACAGTTGCTGCAGTGAAAATGCAAAACACAATTCAATCTAGCTCTATTGGCATGAATGTAAAACAATATTGCCAAACTACAAATAAATTACAACAGAACAATTCATTTTATACAGTATATAAAATAAAACAATTAAAAAGTAAAAGTGTGTTTGTGTGTGTTTAAACAATAATAATAAAAAAAATATATAAAAAATAAAATAAATAAAACAGTAAAAGGGTGTGTTTGTAAAATAAAATAAAAATAAAAATAAAAAATAAAAATAAATAAATGAAACTGTGTGTGCGTGTGTGTGTGTGTGTGTGTGTGTGTGTGTGTGTGTGTGAATGAATGTGAAGTCATGGACAAAATTAGTTTGTCCACAAATCAATGTGTGGTTTCATGCTATGAGAGTTGCACACCTGTAGAATGATTTCTCAGCACAAACACAAGTCACTAACCACAACTGCTTAAACGTCCAGTAAAATGTTTTTTTTTTTGTTCCAAGGTCCCTGCACCCTCACCTTTGCAGCGCATATCTCAGTGGAATGTGGCGCTCATTTGGGCGCCCGTTGTTTTTCCAACCCAGATTATAGAAGAAACCACGGCCACTTCCGTGCATTTACAAATTGTACAAAACAATGCATTAATTTACATCATGAGTGATTTACTGATTTTGAATAGTCGAGTTAGTGTTGAAACAGGCAGATTTAGAAAAAAGACGGATTAAACTGGATGATTAAAATGGATTTCCTCTCATTAATGAGCCTACTTGGACATAAGGCCTTGACCATTAGACTCCAGATCAAAAAATGACCATTGCAAAAGTTCTTAGAGAGTTTGTGTATTGCAGAAAAATGAGAGATGTCATTGGGTTAGTTGTTAAATCAAAGTGAACCTTTGATTGGGGATTTCCATTTTTGGCATGACGCCATAGTAGAGTCAGTACAAAACTTAATTTAAACCAATTACTCCACTCAGTTCTGCTTGGTTGGATACTCTTTGCATACTTACCAGCAGGCCCTGCCATGTAAGGGATTAATGTCAGGTGTATTAGCTTGCGCTTGAGCTAAGCCCACTTTAATTCTGAATGTGTTTGAAGGAAAAACACTCCAAATAGGATTCAGTCTTGTTTTCTCAGGGTGTCTTTAGCTAGTTTAGCTACCCGTACAGTGTTGTAACACTTAGCTTTCACAGCAGTGCTACGAGCGTGCAAGTTGCTAATGCAGAAAGCTGAAAACAAGGAGGGACGGCAGATGTAGAAAGGATCATTGTGTGTATTTACCAGTCACTATAAACAACAAGAGCTTTGTAGAGCGAGGAACAGGCCATGTTCACTACACAAACTGAGGGAGCGATTGTACATAAACACTGTCTGCTCACTGTTTTAATCTTTCATATCTGTTTTTTTTCCTCTCTCAACAGCCGAAGAAGAAGGTGACCCTTTACCTTCTGTTCTGTGTTTCAACAGCAGTCATCGGCTCGCTACAATTTGGCTACAACACCGGGGTCATCAATGCACCAGAGCAGGTGTGTGTGTTTATAATAATAGATGCAACACCACATCTTTTCTCATTCTTTGAGATTAATATTGTTATAACACTTTTTAATCGCCATTTTCTGAATCACTTAAACACTTTTATGTTGTTGTTCTCTACATGTGGTTTGGTAAGTTGATCTAAATCAGAGTTATGTTGCTAGACATGGAGGTTTTAGTGTGTCTGGTCTCATTTGTGAGTACAGCATTGCAAGGTGGTTATGCTAAAAGCTATACTGCCCCCATGTGGATGTGTCAAAAACTCCCAATAAACACATCAAGCACAAGCTCTGTCACATCTGTCACACCTTAATAAGATCTATTTAAAATTTATAATCAACATAAAAACAAACACTTTCTTAAAAGTTGCAATTTCTAATCCCGCCAGCCTTGTCTTTGGTTTGACAGAAACTGCGTAGGTTTTTCCAGAATGTGTCAGCGGAGCGGTACGGGGAGCCTTTCAGCCAAGGAACTATCACCATGTTGTGGAGTGTTGCTGTGGCCATCTTCAGTGTGGGAGGCATGGCCGGGTCTTTCTCTGTTGGAGCCATGGTCAACAAATTTGGCAGGTAAGAACATCAGGAACAAACGCTTAATGCAAGATGATGAGAATGGCAACCATTTACTAGTTTACTAGTTTACTAGTTAATACCATTTACATTTATGGCATTTAGCAGACGCTTTTGTCCAAAGCAACTTACAATAACTTTATTTTTTTTATTTTTTTTTTTTCAATTTTATTTTTTTTATATATATATTTTTTGCTCGAGGTTTCTGCCTCTTAAAAGGAAGTTTTTCCTTGCCTCTGTCGCCTAGTGCTTGCTCTTGGTGGGAACTGTTGGGCTTCTGTAAATAACATCACAGAGTACGGTCTAGACCTGCTCTTTTATGAAAAGCGCTGTGAGATAACTGTTGTTGTGATTTGGCGCTATATAAATAAAATTGAAAATTGAATTGAATAGTTTCAACCTCTAAAACGTGACAGGTCAGGTGGTTGGATGTTTAAAGTTGTGACCTTGGAGTCTGGGAAATTCTGACTGACATTTTGTGGGCTATACAGTTAATCTGCTAATTAAGAAAATCAGCAGATTGCTTTTTTATAGTTGCTTACCTTGTTGTTTTTCTCTTTAGTCTCACTAACTTTGTCCGTCTGCCTTCCTCGTCTCTCATCACCAGGCGTAAATCCATGGTGCTTGCTAATGTCCTGGCTGTACTTGGTGGCGGTCTGATGGGACTGTCAGTTCTGTGTCAATCGTTTGAGGTGGTCATTGTTGGCCGGCTGATCATCGGTGTGTTCTGTGGTCTGTGCACGGGACTGACACCCATGTACATAGGCGAGATCTCTCCCACTGCTCTCCGAGGAGCCTTCGGCACGCTGCACCAGTTGGGTGTAGTTATTGGCATCCTGGTGGCACAGGTACTGTGAAATGGTGATTATATTACTGTGATAATATTGATGCAGAATAACAAAGATTTGCTTGAAGAATTTTGATTATCAAAATAAATTTTTTTCACCTTCATTAAAGTGGTGAGGCGGTTTGCAGTTTTCTAATATCCATTGATCAGGTCATGTGATCTATAGATCACCATAAATACCATTTACATTTATGGCATTTAGCAGACGCTTTTGTCCAAAGCAACTTACAATAACTACATTTGTCAATAAAAAGTGAATAAGAAATAGAGACAAAACAACACTATCATAATTCTTTATGCAAAATTACTTTTGTTAATATCTTATTTACTCTCAGTGGATTCAGAAATTTACAAGGAAAATATATATATGATATTAAAGCATGTTTTTAGGATGTTATTTATGGAATTTGATATAATATTTCATTTTAACCAATCAACTGGTTAAGAGTTGAAAAAAACACCGCCCTTTCAACCTCAGTTTTCAAAGCACAGTATACTCAGATTTCTTCTATTACTTCATATTCATGACAAATATGATACTGGTCTGCCCCTCTCTGGGTGTTTTCAAAGTTAGAAGAAATTCACATACCAGAGATAAATTGACTCAAATAAGTCCATATACGCACTTCATCCCTTGTTACCTCTGTATTTTAGATCTTTGGTCTGGAGTTTCTGCTTGGCTCAGACACTCTGTGGCCTCTGCTGCTGGCTCTGACCATCCTGCCTGCTATACTGCAGACCATCATGCTGCCGTTCTGCCCTGAAAGCCCCCGCTACCTGATCATTGTCCTCAACGAGGAGGAGAAGGCAAGAAAGGGTAAGTTTTGAGACACTTTACATTTTGCTAACAAGATTAGAATCTAGAACTACCCGTGAATTTTTAATGATCTGTGGATTGATGCATGTACTGGGGATGAGGTGGGCCCGTGATTTATAAAACTTTTACCATGTAACATGTTCCAAGAGCATTCCAGCCTTTCGTTACATTATATTTACATAAATAATGTACTTACTTCCTTTTCTATTCATCCATCCCTTCTTCTCTCACTCTCTAGCACTGGTGCGTCTGCATGGCTCTGAAGATGTCAGCAATGATATTCAGGAGATGAAGGAAGAAGGGATGAAGATGGCCATGGAAAAGAAAGTGACCATCCCTGAACTCTTCCGCTCTCCTAACTACCGTCAACCAATTGTTATCGCTATCATCCTCCAGCTCTCTCAGCAGCTGTCTGGCATCAACGCTGTGAGTAAACGTCATATCCTATAATGGAGCACAGTGGTTAGGGATATAATTATCAAGTGTCATGAATCTTTAAAGGAGCAGTCAGTGAAATTATACAAATGTTTCTGACAAGTACATGACAAGAGGTGCTTTTGGCTCCAGGCAATGTTAGATTGAGCGAAATAATTTAAGCCTCTGAGGGTAAACAGAAAGACACAAACACAGTGGTATTCAATAGGTATTTTGTTAATAAGGTCATGTAACCAGGCTCACTAATGAGCGGTTGCTGCGTCTGACCTGACAATCAAAGTAAAGATACTTCGGCCTACGGCTAAAGGCTGCAACATCAACTGAACTCTGACAGACACATTAACACTCATGACCTATATCACTCACCAGCACAGAAGCTAGTGCAGTTACAACTTGTTTCTGCTGTATAATTATTCAACAAAAGTTGAAGCTGCACTGATGAATATTTTTATATTACAGAGCAGTTTAGCATAGTTTCATCAGTAGTTTCATCCATTTTTTTTAGTTAAAAAGAATAAAAAAGACAAAGTTAGTGACTATCTAGTGAACACACTGGGGCATTTACCTACTAAAGAGCCAGAAGATGATGGAGACCGAAACCTGAATTCGCTCTGTGTCTGCTGTATGTCTAGATTACAGTTTGTTAGCCTTATCAACTGTAAAAGGTGGTAAAATGCTTTTCCCCTAAGTGGACAAAAAAAATCAGTAAATGCAGGTTTAATATAATGTAATTTTAAAGACAACACTAATTGTATTCACTGGAATAAACAGTAACTCTTTATTTTTCTCTCCCTTCAGGTATTTTACTACTCCACAGGCATATTTGACACAGCTGGTGTTACTCAACCTATCTACGCCACCATAGGAGCTGGAGTTGTCAACACTGTGTTTACTGTTGTCTCTGTAAGTGTCTGACTACATATCTGGTGTCTTAATACAAGGCATGATTTATATTTATTGGATTGTTAATCATTGCTTTTCTTGGTTTGAGTCCAGCTCTTTCTGGTTGAACGGGCTGGGCGAAGGACATTGCACCTGATTGGACTGGCTGGAATGGCTGTCTGTGCCCTCATTATGACAATCTCCCTGTCTTTGGTGGTGAGTTATGATCACATTAATCCTCATGTCCTGTGAGCTTTAAAGCTTACAAAAATTAAATGTTTTGCTATTGCTCTCTCATTTCGTCTTTTGCTCATTCTCTTTGTTTCTCTCTTGGAGCAGAAGACCAACGAGTCTCTAAGCTATCTGGCCATAGTGGCTGTGTTCGGCTTTGTTGCCAGTTTTGAGATGGGTCCAGGTCCCATCCCCTGGTTCATCGTGGCTGAGCTCTTCTCCCAGGGGCCACGTCCTGCTGCCATGGCCATCTCTGGTTTCTCCAACTGGACCGCCAACTTCCTGGTGGGGCTGACTTTCCCTAAACTGGAGGTATGGACACATACTAAAGTCTTAAGATGTACACGTGATATGAGTTTGTCATGCAGCTACAAACATCTTTCTCTTCTCTCGTAGGAACTTTGTGGTCCTTATGTTTTCATCATCTTCATGGTACTCCTCATCCTGTTCTTCATCTTCACCTTCCTGCGAGTGCCTGAGACAAAAGGAAGAACCTTTGACGACATCGCTCAGGGATTTTCTGCCAGTGTAGGGAAACCCTCCCAGTCCCTGGCGCTTGAGGTGGTGGCTGTCGGTCTGCCAGAGAGCAAAGAAGCTCCACCCATGTCCCCCACAGAAAAGGTTCCCATGGTGGATCTCCCTGCAGAGAAGCCATGAGCGTCCTTACAGAGAAGAAGGAAGAGTTAGGGTACTACACAGACAACATGTTTCAAGCACATAGATATTGTAAGGAGTTACATTTGATAACTTACAATTGATGAAAGTGCAGCGGGGTGTTTTTAGAAAAAGCCAACTCAGTGTATTAATAATTTAGAAATAAGATTTTAGTTTTTAATATATATTTTCAGTGTTCCTTTTTTTTTTTATTAAATTCAGTGTTTTTTAAAGATCCCAAGTTACAAACGCTAAAATGATTGTTGACAGAATTCCCTGTAATCCTGACTGAAACATGGGCCAAACTTAACTGAATTACCAGTTCTTAATATTTGTGGACATACCCAGTGCCAGCCCCACGCATATTGCCATATAAGAGGATCAACATATGTTTAGTGTTAAGTCCCAGGTCTTCAGCTACTCCCAGTGTTTAAAGGTTGCAGGATTTCAGGGGGTTTATGTATTAAGGTCAAGCTTTTTGGAGCCAAGTAGTTTGACCCAGAAAAGACTGACTTGCTGTCCTGTATGCCTGCCTGATGTTTGTTGCTGCAAAGGGGAGAAAGGCCTGTTGCCTTAAGTAGACACAATAAACATGGAGGAGGTGCTTCAAAAGTAATTATATATATATATATATATATATATATATATATGTGTAAGCATGTAAGTAGAAGTTAAAAAAATATTTCTTCTCATCATGTACCACAACATCCCCTGACAGTAGAGGATGTTTGTGTCAAGACCGTTCTTTAAATTGGTACTGTCTCCATCAAGTATATTGTTTGTATGAGAATGATGTGTATAACACTGCAAAGCCTAAACAAAGTTTCCTCATAGACTTTCTACTCTTAAAAACATAACATAACCTGTTGTGTTTTATGATTTCACTGCAGGGTACAGCCAGGATGACAAATTGTTGTAGTGCATTTGTTTTATAGTTTGCATTACGGCAGTTGGATATAAAAACTCAGGTGGCTACTTGTGTTATACTGTACACTCGGCTTCTGACATTTATCCATCACTGTCTGTTAACTCTTATTTGACAGTATGTAGGTCATGAAATAAAATGTCTTACAATCTCTAAAACAGTGTTACATAAATTCAAAAGTGCTTGTCGGTGTTAAACAGCCATTTGTGGGATGTATCGAAACAAATTGACGTCTACTGATATTTAAATAACGACACGTATTTCAGTCAAAACAAGATGTTAGCCATGTGGGTTGGTGATGTTGAATAAAAACACTAAATAAATTGTATTTATTTCAATGATGAACGCACAAAAAATATCTTATCATATGTGTTTGTTTCTAATTGTCTGAAATCATGTGTATATATTGTAGAATATCCACTTACTGCATCAAGATCAAGTATTAGAGCACTGTGTACATGCTTATAAATGTCGTGTCAGTGTTTTTTACAGTTACATATTTCTCTGTATGTGCGCACACTCATAAGGAAGTACTTTTCAACGTTTGAGCTTAGCAGCGTTTTCATTTGCACTTTGGCAGTCGGTCTACTTTCTAATGATTGCTTATATTATTTGTGGCTCCCGTGTAAATATGTATGTGTTAGGGTGTGTATGGTTTTGGTTGCTTTTTGTTTTTCATAATCCTGTTTTATCTGTGTTACATTCACTGATTTATTTTGCACTCTGGAAATACTGTTACTATGGTACTATGGTGAATGTCATTGTGTTGCTTAACAGTAGACTGAAGTGAGATGTGATGATGGTTGGGTGTGCATGAGAGTCAGCTGATAGATGACCTTTACTGTTTTCCTAGTATAATGTCCTCAGTTCTCCTTCTGTAATAAAATACTGATATTTGCTTTGTGAGACTAAAAAGAAAATAAAGTTGTCCATCTTTTAATGGAATGTGTGACTTGAATTACTAGCATAAACAGTCTTTTTCTGTCTGTAATGCTATGCTATGAGTCTCATGATGAATTTTTAATGTAACTGCAGTCTCTGCTAAAGTGAAAGTGTGAGAGACTTTGTCTGGTACCCACTTCTGCAAAGTGGTGCAGCTCCATTTATTTTTCTGCAAAACCTCAGTTAGCTGTGCAAACACTGTTCAAACACTGAAATAAAGCCGCAAACAGAAGTTACGTTTTTTTCTCTGGGGCTGCTGCTGCTCAACAGTTGGGTTTAAAAAGATATATTCATGGTTGTGTTGATGTTTTTAGAAGTGCGTCTGTGATGAAGACTCATAAGGTCAGACTTCCTCTTGGGTCACACAGCTTTGAAAGCCAAACCAGAACACATGTAGAGACAAAACAGAATATTTACCTCAAAGAGAAATTCCCCTGAAAATGATGGCCTACTTTAAACATGCTTCTAAAAGTCTTTGTTGTTGTTATAATGAGTGTAGTTGTTCTTGCATTGTTGTTGATTAAATTTTTTTTACGACAGGGGACTAAAAAACAATATGACTGCAACTAACGATTGTTTTCATAACTTTCTCATTATTTTCTCAATTAAATGTTTTATAAGTTGGGTTAGGGTATACTTATAGTCCATAGCATGGGGACATGAAAAATATTATTATGGAATATGATTTCCCATAATGCTTTGGGAGATGTAAACAGGAAGGATGTTGCCATGGAGTCAGTATGTTAACTGTGGGCTACATATTGAGCTCCTTTTTTGTGCCTATATTTATCTACATTTTTGCACCAATTTGGCGCCATAAGAACTATGCCGAATTAGCTATTAGTAGTTCCTGTTTGCATTGTACTCATGGGTGTACAAACAACTATTACCGGATTACTTTGATTCTTAACTTAAAAATGTGATGATTCTCAGGTAAGTTCTGGAGTTGTAAGGAGCGTCTTTGTCCTATGATTTCATTATAAGCGCATTTATGGATGTTTATTCGCGATGGACGTTGTAAAGTGTTGAGTCACACTGAATCTCAGAATATGTGTAGGCCATCATCTGTGTGTTTAGATTTGATTGAGTAATGACTGAGAAGGTAGGTAGCTACAGTACTACATGCACCTGCCCCAAACTGCAAAGTAATTGAGTTTATTGTCATAAAAGACTAAAAAAGCAGAAATATTCAAATTTGGGAAGCTGGAACCAGTGATTTTGGGCCATCGTTGATTTAAAAAAATGTATTTAATCGATTAACAAGTGTTAAAGATTAATTATCTAATTGTTTCAGCTCTAATTAACAAACACACAAACCTTGCGTCACAGGGATCACGTTCCTGCTGAACAATCTAAAAATGGATTAAGACATTTTAATTACCTCCTTAATGACTAGAGGACATTTCCCACTTCACCTCCCGCCCAGCCAGAGGAGCAAAGAGCCTTGGGTAAAGGGCCCCCGGCTGGCTGGGAATGGGGCCATCTAACTAACTGTGTCAAGCCAATAGGCAACATCTCCCTGCAATAGTCTACTGAAGTCTTACTCATTGCAGTGAACTGGGGCATGAAAGCCCATCAACAAGCTGCAGTACCCCGGTCTGACCAGCCAGTGGCGTGCATGGGCCAGAGGGGTGTTCAGTTGCGTGTGTTTGCATGTGTGTATGAGTGTGTGTCTAGATACTGTCTGGATGAGCAATCCTGTGAGGCGAGGAGTGTGTCTGAGAGACAGAGGGGAGAGTGGAGGAAGCGGGAGGGAGGAGGGGTGGTGTTAGGAAGAGGGAGCACAAAGCCACATGAAGGATGGAGAGCGTCCAAAAATGTGACTAAATTATACTCATTTGCCATGAAAGGTAGAAATGAGAGACAACAGGAAAAAAAGAAAGGACGATGAAGTTGGGTACTCTCACATGCCACAGCTTGAAAAATGCAAGTTAGCACGATGTCCAGACATGTGAGGGATGCCAGTTTGATGCACGGTCTGCCAGGAGGCCTTGCAGAAATTTGTGTGCGGCATTGGAGGAGAGCTGGAACTAGACATGTCTAGACAGTTGTTTTAGAGACCAGGCAAACTTGTTTATTAATGTTTCCACCTCCTTCTCCCACTGTCACTCTCTGTTGTTGACTCTGCCTTGTCTTTGTTTCTCTCATATAAAAAACTCTCTCCCACTTTCCTCCTCTCACTCTTTCTGATCTCTTTCTCTCTCCCGTCTCTGTGACAACAGTGTTTTGTTTACTCCCTCGGCTGGCAGTGTACTTATTGTACGTGCTGCTCTGTAAATATTTTTCTCCTTCCCTCATCCATTCATCCATCCACTCCCATCCTCTCTCTCTCTCTCAGATAAAGGCAGCAAACAGACTCCACCCCCTCTCACCCCCTCTCCCTCTCTTTTGCTCTTTCACACACACTCACTCTATCTCCCTCTTTCATGCTCTCTCCCTCCCTCACTTTCTGTCAGTGTCATTCTGTAGTGGAAATGTGGAGTGTCTTTCTGTCTCTCTGTCTGTTTTTCCAGCCCAATTCAGCTGAGGAAGGTAAGACCTAAAACTTTTGCTTCAATTTGTTCCCATTAAAATCAATGATTGCATGCATGCGTTTTATGGGTGTGATGGAGAATTTTCCACAATGCGCTCCCATCATGTGGTCATAATGAGTCCACAAGTAAAGGATGGACACTTGGTGTGCTTCTGGATTAGCGCTCTAAGAACGTGGCTCTCTGGGAATGCTGGCACTTTGATGTGTGAAACTGTGGCACGTAAGGCCGCACGCAGCACCTCGAGAAAGTCTGATTCATTCTCAATATTTGGGGCTCCACCTCCAGCCCCCTGAATAATTACCACTTTTCCTCCTGCTCACACAGCCCTGTGTGTGTTAGTTTTGTGTGCTCTGTATTATGTCTAAGTGTGTTTGTGTGTGTGTGTGTATGTGCATATGCATGCAGATGCTTGTGTGAGTGCCACTGTGGCAGCACATCAGATAGGAATTTGCTGGCATGCAAGTGCCAGGTGCGTGCCGGGGCCTATCAAGCGCCTGCAAACAAAAGAATATGGAAATAAGGCAGGAGACAAAATGAATAATAAGTTGCATAACCCGTTTCTCTTTGCCTGTGTATTTGGCCCTCCCCAAATACAGTTGACCCCCCACCACCACCCTCCCCCATGTTGCTCGTGATCTCACGGATGTGACAGCCAGAGACCCCTGCCCCCTCTCCAGGATTTGGCCCCTTGTCTCCACAGTCTCTTTAATGAACGTGTGTCTCATTTGCTCAGCTCTTAATTCTCATAACTCTTTTTCTACATAAATGGAAATATTAGATTTCTTAAAAAGTGCCGGAGAGAGAGAGACTGTTTGGAAAGGCTGAAGTGAGACTCCATCTATGAAGTGTTGTCAGATCAGAGTGGGCTGACTTGAGAAACCTAATGATGATTTGATGACTCAAACTGCCTTTATATGTGTGTGTGTGTGTGTGTGTGTGTGTGTGTGTGTGTGTGTGTGTGTGTGTGTGCATGTGCGTGTATTCTTATAGGTGCATGCATGCTTTCGTGCCCATCTATACATAGCTCTTGTTCCTACATCCTGTCCCCAACACTTGAGAGGGTTTCAGCAGTCAGCACGCAATTACTTTCAAAAGATCCGGCTGCACATTGGAAAGAGCTGCACCTGTTCATGCTCATCTCCCATTGGATTTAGTTTACTGCGAGGTGTGTGTCAGTAAGAGTCTTTAACATTTTTAATATTTTACATGTCAGCCTCATGCCGCATTATTTGAGCTGCTTTCGTAACAGATGGCCTGGACTAAGATGAGACAGAACGACAGCGAGGGAGAGAGGCTGCACAGTGTTACTGGCCTACTGACTCTGTGTAATTGATATAGAGCTCTGCGTAATACAGTATTAACCCAATAGCAAGGACATGCATATAAATCCACATAAATTGAAACATCAAGTTATGTCACAAAGGGAGGATTTGGCGTCTGCCTCAGCTTTGATCGCAGTAGATGACGTGTCTGTCTGGACTGATGTGTTTACTCTCTGTCTTTCTATTGTTTATTGTCTGTCTACTGCTTTTTAAGTTTATTCTGTGTATCCACCACTAACACCCACTATTCTTGTCTGGTTTTACACCACAAACTATAAAGACGTGTCCTTTTTTAGTCTTTATTCCTTGCAGTTAAAGTGTGAGTTGAAGAGTGTAAAATCTATTTTGCTGCATCGTTGGATGCAGACAAACTACAGAGCCTGTGAGAGGCATTCAGTGGTTCGCTCTGCGTAAGTGTTGATGCGTTCGCCCACAACCATTGTTGATGTGTGGCGAAGCCAAATGGCTGGCCTCTAAATTGTTGGAGCTGTGTCGAGGATTGCGTGTTCGCATAGCATTAACACAGCACATTGAAGGAGAGGCACACCTGATGCCCCTCCAGCTCTTCCCGTCATGGATGAGTGGAGCTGCAGTGATGCTCACTGAGCTATGCATATCCAGATATTAACCTTGTATCATTAATGAAACTTATGTCCTTTTACCCTGAAAAGTAAATGCAGTCAGATTTTGACCAAAAGGTGACACAAACTGTTGACTAAAATGTTTACCAAAACTGATTAAAATGTGGAAAAATAAAAATTCAACCAAGTGAAATGGTTGAAAGCGAATTTGCAGGTGCTGTGGTAGAAATTAACTAAATACTCCAGTACTGACTTAAGTTCAATTTATATGTACTTTACTTGAGTACTTTCCTTTAACAATACTTACATACTCCACTATGTTTCAGAGGGGTATATTGCACTTTTTTTTCCTCCACTACATTTATAAGACAGCTCCAATGCAATGTTATAGATTAAAACAGTTTTTCCCAGTGTTGGGCAAGATACTTGACTACTGTAATCAATTGTTCTTTAAACATTACATTACTTTACTAAAAACTCTGTTAAGATGCATTACGTAACACACTAAACTGGACATTTTAAATTTTACCTGCTCTCAGGTGGTTGAAACTAAATTACCTCAAACCTAGTTTGGTATTTCTATAATGAAGTTTCTTGTTGATGATTGGCTGACACATACAAGTTATCATTCTAGCTCAAATTAAGGATCTAATAAAGTTATATATAATAATAAATCAAGTACTCTTACTTTGAAACACTGAGTGCATTTTGCTGCCAATACTTCTGTCCTGTTGTAGATTTTCAATGCAGGACTTAGTGGTTACACTTGTCACTCGCTATACTTACATTGTAGTATTGTAACTTAAAATTAATGAAATGATCTGAATACCCTCCTCCCCTCCACTGGTCATCTGTACAAAGAAATACAGTAGGGTGTATAAACTTTGAGTCATGTTGACAGTCTCACTTTAAGGTCATCTGGGCGATCTGGGTATTAATTAGGCCGACTGACTATCCTTATACTGGGTGTTATAAGCCGCCTTTTCAGGACATGATACATTAGAGAATGTGTGATAAGAAACTAAATAGCACGCTTGTCACAGTGGGAGTGCAGCAGGATGGATGCCACTAACAGCACTGAAAAGCTTCCTGTTCTCATCTCTCCTGCCTGCATGTACGCCGAGCTGCAGAAAGTGAGATCACATGCTGGCGGGGAAGTGGAGGACACAGCATCCCCATCATTGACACTACAACACTTAACTGTGGCCGGGTGTTATTTTTAACAGTGTTTTGCATGTAATTCTCAAAAGCAACATCATTTTCTGTGGCTGCTGAGAGCTCTCTAATGACATTAGGCCACTTTTCCTCAAATGAACCACATATCTGCCATTTGTGATATGAGAGGTTGAAGCCCTCAGGTGGCTGTGAGCCAAGATTCTCTGCTTTGAGTCAGTCTGTGTCATTGCAGATAGAGTCACAGATAATACGCCTCTGCAGACATGCAATGAGTTAGAGCCAAAATGGAACTGAAAGATGAATGTGTGGTATGGACTGCTGTGACACAGAGGAATGTCGTTTGCAGTTTTCAATTTCATGTTAAAGTTGCACTTGGCAGTTTGCGTGTTGGCATTAACTGAGAAGGGTGAGAGCGAAGTTTGATTGTTGAAGTCACTGTTTAGAAATAACACAATGAGATTACAGTGAATTGATCTCTTCTCAGGTTTACATTCCTCCTTCTGAGTGAGTGCTGGGGGTGGAGATGGTGATGAAAATATGTACAGAATGTAGCAGCTTTGATTGTAAGTCTAGATTTCTTTTGATTGAGAACTCAAGCAACTTTTGTATTTCACCCTTCGTAGGTTTTGATTCTATATTTCCACTATGTGCACATTACTTTACCCCAGTGACCAATTAAGTAGGGGGAGGGATACATTTCTCTGCTGTAGCACCGCTGAGGAGTATTTTTCCACACGACAGTGTTCAGTGGGTCTCGTTAAATTCTGTCAAAACTGCTTCCTTCATGACAAACCCAAGCCTTTCTAGGCCAAAAATACACAACCAATACGTGTCTGAAATCATGTTTTAGAGGGGCTGGTAGGCAGTTTCCAGTCTTTATGCTAAGCTAAGCTAACCGGAAGAAAGTGCTTAGCTTCCAACAGACGTGAGAGTGGTATCAAAATTCTCATTTAAAGAAGCCAGAATCCTCCATCAGACCTGCTGGTCGGATGATCAGATGGCTTTGGAAAGCCCTTTCCCACACACCTTCTTAACTTCTGGTATGGGGGCCTGTGTACGGCAATTTCTGTGACTTTTCAAAACTGATAATCCACACCCGCTTCATGTCGTGATTTGCCAGGCTAGTGGTGGTGTGACTGTAAACTGAGTTTGAACTTCTCTCTTAAGCTCTCTTTTTTTGTTACACAAGCTTTTCTGTCACTTTTCATGTTTACAAACGACTGAAACACGATAAATGCATTCCAGGAGAGACTGTCTGAAAATGTGCGTTATATGTGTTATATCCCCCCTCTCTATGACAACTGACTTTTCACCCTGCCATTGAGATTAGCCAATCGTAGCGAGGCCGGAAGACACGTCTTAGAAGTAATTCTTTTTTAGCAAAACCCGGCCTTAACTCTTGTGTGAATAAGTGAATAAATGCATTTCCTAAAATGTCGAACTATTCCTTTAAGATGTAGTTACCCAAAAGCATCCCCCAGATGGTAACCTGACCAGGCTTATTTTTACAGAAGTCTTGTAATCAAGGACGTTTTCGTGAAATTCCCACATACCTGTGCCTGTTGCTTCCTGTTCAGCAACTCGTTGCAGGCATCTAACCTGGTTTAAGTGCTGTTTGTTGCAGCTGCACTTTCATTCAGCTTAACCGCCAGACAATTTTTGATAACTCCCTTTGACATGTGCATGCTTATTTCTGGAATCGCGTTAATCCCCCGTCCTTCCTCACTCCCCCGCCATCCTCCTCCTGCTGCCTCTCTGTCTTGGCGTATCACTCACTCGCTGTGGTTGTTTGTAATGATGGTTTGGTGTGGGCCTTGTCCTTGACTGACTGTCTGTGGGTGGGAGCATCTGGAGCGTATAAAGAATGGGTGGAGATGGGTGGATGAGTGGACAAAAGAGAAAACACAACCTGACCACGGCTGAGAACGCTTGCAGGCACGGTGGGAATTTTTTGTGAAAATGTGTGTGTGCCTGTGTGAGCTCCTGAAACTTGCTGTTACCTGTGAGTTTAGCGACTCTGTGTACTCTTTGCAGGTGCATTTACTTTGGTGTTAAGGCATATTACACACTCAACACCCCTCCAGTCTACGTTAATATTAACACCAAATTTCTTTGCTGAGTGCTGCGGGGGCTCTATTGCCTGGAAAATGTGCGGTAAAGTAGCATACATTGGCCGTCAAAGAGGCGTGACATGAACAACAGCACTACACTTAGCGCTGGAGAGTGTCGATGCATGCATGGCCACACAGAGAGGCGAAGTGTTGGGCAAAGAGGAATGGATAGAGAGTGGAGAGAGGGTCACTCAGCTGAAGTGAACACTCCAGTGGAAGAGGGGACAGCCATGAACTAATGCAGGTCACCTCTGCACAACAGAAAATAGTGTTTCCACCCACGCCACAGACAGAAAGAGAGGGGAAAGAGTGAAAGAAGCACATTCATATGCACAAACACAATCCTATCCGCCTCTACGCATTCCCGTTTCATAATCCTGCCTTTTTCATTCTATTGTTTTCTCTGTATTTCTCTCTGTGTATCAAAGCGTATCCCAAACAAACAGCAGATCTGGCATCAATAATGGAGCAGAGCGTATCTCCTTATTTAACACACAGACATGCCTACCCTGCTGTCACTTTTTAGATGAATAATACACACATGCAGAGAGGGGGAGATGAAAGGGACAAGGGACAGGATGGAGGTAGAAAGGGGGGAAAGGTATTGCTTAGAGTGAGTAAAAGACCAGAGTGGAGCAGGAAGACGTGAGAGACAGCGTGCATTAACACAGCACTCAGGTCCAGATTGCAGACTCAGCACTTCTCCAAACTGTCAGGGACAAACTTTGAGTGTCTCAGATGGACCAATAACAGAGATGCTGTGGCGCAGTTGTCTGAGAGTTAAATAAAGGGGCTTTTACTGCCAAGTGGACCTGCCAGCAAGTGTCCCTCTCTTTTGTTCAACTTTGTCTTGCGCACACACAAGATCCAGTAATGCCTCAGCTCAAGCTAATCCTTGAAAGGTGTGCGTAACATGGCACTCAACGCTTATCTTCGGGTGTCGTGGTGAATTATTCCTCATGCTAATGTCACGCACTGAGACATGCATGAAGCTCTTTGAACACTCCTCCATGTAATCGTCATGTACAGGTTTGTCGTGGAAGGAGCGGAGGCGACGTGAGGACCTGTGGTCCCCAAGGCCCCATGACAAGAAGCTAAATAGTAGAGGCATAAATATTAATGTCAAAATAGTTGGCTACATATTATTTATACATGGCTCTGCCCTGAAGCTCACAGTTAATTGAATTTGAAATGACACATTTGCAGCATTTGTGCGTGTGTGCGTTCTTATCTGCTATAAATAGGATGGTGCTTAATGAGGTCAGAATACATATGTGAGTGCGTGCGTTTCATGCATGACATGTTTATACATATAATGATCATTTATTGCGTTGAAAGATGCCGGATGGTTCTTGACAAGAGAAACTGAGCTCGGAAAACAGATCAATAGGCTGTTTCCGTGTCATCACACACAATGACAGGTGTTGCTATTAGTTTTCCACCCCATTTATATCAATGAGGGTAGGCTAAATGACAGAAACACCTCTCTCTATAATGCATCCTCCAAAATGATCAAAAAGTTGAATCAACAAAAAGGATTTATTGCAGGTCTGTTGTGTTAGACTGCTATAGTTTCAGCTAGGTGTTCCTAAAATAAAAGTAATTGAGTGTATATCCTGCTAAAGATGCATCATCAAACAAAGCAGGAAAGGTGTGTCACAAATGGAAATGATCATTCTTCTGAAAGACTTTAGACATCCTGGCTTGGTGCATTTAGTCTTCCCCATGTAGCTGATTTTTTTTTATCTTGATCGGCTCTGCGATTCCAGCTGCCAAGCTGTCCAGACATACGCTGCACTAAAAACTATTTATTCTGATGCCTGTGGCTGCATATAATACTTGCTGTCGCAGTCCATTTGTATTCGTTCTTGATACAATTCACATTGCTCCAAATCCTGGAGGACTTCCATGGAAAATGTGTGAGTTTAGAAAGATTGACATAACGACAAGCTAGTGGGTGAAAACATACAGACAGACTGGGGGGGGGGAATGAAGGATTGGAGAACAGATTTGCAGGGCCTCCATCTGTGGGTATAATCCTAAAAAAATCTGTTTACAGCACACTCTGAGAACAGAGTGGAGGGGTGGATTTATGTCACAAGCTACAAATGATATCAGTTTGTTATTATTTGATTTATTAAGACGAAGAAAGGCAGAGGGATGCAGTGTGTGTGCACAAGCCTGTAGCCCTGAGAAATAAAAGCTGAGCTATCTCAGTGGGATGTTTTGGCGAGACAGGGCACCTTTTCAAATCCCATCCTCTGTGTGTGTGATGATTATGTAGATAATATATTTCTGCCACTCTTTGTCTGGTTGTCAGAGGGAGAAAAAAAAAAAGAGACCCTCCTTTTCTCCAGTGAACAATGCTGTGACATGAAATGGAAACGAAAGAATAAAAATTGCATTACACAATTGTGGAGAATCATTTATTTGTAAACAGAGGCGGATGGCGGCTGCCTTACACAATGCCGTGTGTGTCTGCAGCCCTTTAGGTGATTAGTGTTGTGCTTGGTGAAATCAGGCGCTGTGTGTTCTTCTCCATTAACTCCATCTGTCCGAGCATCCAAACCTGGAGTCTGATGTTGTTGCCACCTCTGTGTGCACGACAAACTTTGGCCTGCGTTCAACCGGCGGCTCCTCAGCAGAAATGAGCTCAGACTGTGCCAGACTGAAGGAACGGTAGCCGCCACGGTTTTGGAATACTAATGGAAAACTCAAGGGCTTCAGTTGTGTGTGGGAAGCTGCCATGTGTCAGCACGCAGCACTTTGCATTAAAGTCACTTTGTGTGTGAGTTTTCTGTGTGTGATTTCTTTGCTAGCTTGCTTTTTCAAGCACTTAAACCTAAAAGCAAATTATGGAAAAATATACTTATACCATAAAAAAAACATATGCTTTTCTCTTGCTTTCACCCTAGATCATTGGAAATGTGCAAATGTCTGTTAAAACCTTAAACTAAAAGGAAACCAACACTAAACACATTGATGAAGGTTCCCTTTGGGACAAACTACAAGAAGCATCAGCTTGCTAAGTTTCAATATAATGTGACAGTGACTGTTATGGCCTTTTAAAGTTGGAATATTTGACCTTTTATCACAGTGCTCCATCAGGTCAATCAGTTTAATTTTTTAAATACCAGAACTTTGTGCCAAAAGGCATCAACACTCAGTAGTATCAGTTATTAGGTTTGACAGATGCACACAGCTGGAGCCCTCCCTGATTTTATTGCACGGAGGAGAAAATCAAAGAGAAATGTGGACAAAACCTGGACCTGCTCCACCGACAGAGCAGCTTCCAACTTCTTGTGGTATTTAAAAGGCTAAAAGACTGTTTGATTGTAAAAGCACCTATGTCGCAAAGTTAATCTCAACTTCAGCATCACAGCAGCAAATCCATGTTTTAGCTCTTGATGGCATCACAGAACCACACAGTCTGCGGTTCAGGCCACAAGAGAATATCTCGTGATCACAAATTCTGTTTCACAGTCACTTCTCTTTTTTGCCGCTCACTCTGTTGAAGTTCAACAGCATTAAACTGGAAGCTGCACACCACGTTTGTCTCTTTTCTCATACCTTGTCTTTGTCTCTGCTTCCTTACCTGTCAGTGATGCTGCTGGACACAACAGAGTCTACCTCAGAGCTGGGCTGGACCACCTATCCAGACACAGGGGTAAGCAGGGAACTCGCTATCAATGTGCTTTCCAGATGTTGCAGCATTAAAGTGGTCATGTTGGGAGGCCAATCAAATGTGTTGCACACATGTTACACATGGTTATGTTTTAAGTGTGAGATTATAATCACATTGTTTGTTGGGCTTTGTGGTGTAACTCTAATGAGGGATTAAACACAAGAATACATAACACTTAAAAAGGTATCCTTATTGATTAATCTGCTCATTATTTTCTTGATTAATGTTTTGGTCCATAATCTGAAAATAGGGAGAAATGCTCATAACCATTTACTTGAGCCCGAGGTAATGAAGCATATTCAGGTTTCTTTTTTTTTTTTTGTATGACCAACAGCCCCCCCCTTTAGTTTACTTGCTGAGTTTCGTTCAATTCCTGGATATCTACGGGATCATGATTATGTGATTTGATCCTATCGACACTCAACAGTTGAGCCAAGATAGCCTAATACTACCCTTAAACTTATACGTGAAAAACATAAGACATTTAAGACATTTATTAGTTTCTGACCCGAAAACTATTTTATCTTTGAACTATCTCTTCAACCAAATCTATCAAATGCTATTTTATGTCTTCTGCTTTTAAGACTAATGTAAGAACTACCGTAATATTTTTTTTAACTTCCATTCAAGCCTCCCTGGAAACAGTTTGGAGCCCCCGTGGGGAGGTTCGCCTCCCACTTTGAAAACCTCTGACTTAAATGATTAAATGATGATCAAAATAATTGCCAGTTTCCAAAGTTACATTAAAAGGGTTTCGGTGAAGTTTCATTAGAGATTTTATAAGATTAGTTAGTGATGATTAAAGGTCCTGCAAGTAATTATTATGACAATGTAATCACATTTTTTCACTCAGAAAAAAAGGCTTGTAGTTGAAGAATAATCATTTGCATTTTCACACATCAAAATCAAGCATTTCCATTCTGCTAGCTAGTGCATTTTCCAAGGCTGCATTGATTGCAGTGATTCAAATAAACAGCAGGCTTCCACAAAACCTTCTCTGCTATGTTTGCAGTGGACACCACCCTGCTGCAGTATGCAGCGAGTTACAGACCTCAGCTTGAAGATTATAAATTTGGTTATAAATGGTTATGCTTAGTTATGGGTTAAGCTCAGGGTTCTTATCTTGCAGACTGTGTGTCATCTGACATTGATTGGTGGAGATATATGAGGGTGTCACACAGCCTGAGAATGAGCCAGGTCTCACCTTGCCTGTTAGACAGCCTTGCTTCGGTCCCTGCTGCGTTTTCATCTGTGATGAGTTTGCAGCGATTGAACCATATATCTCCCATTCTTGAGCTGCTTTTTATTTGAGGTTGTCGCATCGCCTTGAGCTGCGTAAATATGTGTATGTGTGTGTGAGAGTGCATGTGTGTACTTGCGTGACTGTGCCAGGGTCAACTCCAGGGTCAGTTAAATTCATTCATCTGTGAGTGATTGTGGCTCAGTTCTAATATGGCTCATAATTACAGACATACATCGCCTTCATTGTCATCATCTTTGAGATAATCAGTCAAACTACATGTGAGAAACTGTAGCACAGTACTTATAGTTGTTACTGTCTGTGGAGGAAATTACTTTGCCAATTACTCCACCAGTGCAGAACAATATTATTCTTTAGACTCTATCCACACATGGACGATTTGTGCAAAACATCTGATATATGATTTTAGACTATCATACAGTGCAAGAAATAAAATTAGCTTAAGTGAGGCGACAACTACCACCAGAAAATACAGTAGTCTCCAACATCTGGCAAGCATATGCACTCAAGCCTTTCTTTTATCTCACCTTACACTAAACTTTAGCTTTACGTGCTGTCATTATCACCCGCCTGGCCTCGGGTGTTGGGCCATAATTGTACATGATGTTTGATTAATTAGGGCCTTGTGTGTGTTAGGAATTTGTGAACCATGATGGCTGCTGCTAATAGGAGGCCATCCATTTGTGTGTGTGTGTGTGTGTGTGTTTGAGAGAGAGCTGCTGTGTGTGCGCGCGTGTGTGTGTGCACGCATGTGTGTGTGTGAGCAAGTCAAGCATTTGCATGAGTTTTTTTTTCCTTCTTTATGGTCCCTGGATGAGAAGTGCTTCTGAGATGGAGATATGGTTATTTGACCTGGGGCATCAAGCTGAGAGAAGTAGAAAGACAGACTAAGAGAGGGGGAGAGAAAGAGGGAGGTTGTGTGCGTTCTTTTTTTTAACCCTTCCCTCACTTGTCTCTTCACATCCCATCTTTTCTTTTGCTGTAGGGTCTGTGGATATTCTTTGCTTCCTCCTTCTTCTTCTTGCTCTCTTACCATCTTTCCATTCTTTTAATGTACTGACAAGCAGCCCCTCCACTTCTTTGTCTCTGACTCTCTCTCCCTCCTTTAATCTTTCCTCCCTTTGCCATTCACAGTCCCAGGACCACTGTGTCTCTGCTTCATATTCTTCCTTTGATCCCTCAACTCAATCTCCACTCTGCCCCTCATTTCCCTTCATTGTCAAACCAGCAGACTCTCGACTTCTTACTGTAGTCTTTGCTTTTTTCTCCCCTCCCCTCGTTTTCACACACTATTCGTCCATTGTGTGTGTGTGCACATGCATATGTCTTGGGGTAACTGTGCGTGCCTTTCTTTGCGTCTTCGTGTCCGTGGTTGTGTCCGAGGCCCTGCCCCTCCCTGCCCTCTATCACTAGAGAGATTGCTCTCTGGCTCTCTGGCATTTCGGTTCAAATTAAATCACAAAGATGAGTCGTCCCTATTTTTTTTTTTCTTTCTTTCCAATTCTTCATCTACCCCTCCTCCCCAATCTGCCCAGTTTTTTTTCTACTTTCTGTCTTCATGAGGGAGGGAGAAAACAAGACAGGGAAAAATTGGGAAGGGAGCGGGGAAAGGTGGGGGTTTGGGGTTTGGGGTCAGAAAACAACTGAAAGCTGTGTTTTTTTCACTAAGGTACAGAAGCAAACGGCACGCAATGCCACACACAGATACCCCCCCCCCCCCCCCGCATCCCACCATGTGCTCTCCGTTGTCCCCTCCATGCGATTCCCCTCAGAGAGTGAATCACGGCCCGGGAGACAGAAAACTGTCCTTTCACTCCATTAGACTGACAACGCCTCAGACTCTTTCTATCTGCTCACGGATCTTATTATTATTCCAATTTGACCAAATATGAATGCACTCTCTCATGTGCAATGCTACAAAGACTTTTGTCCATACTGGTTGTCAGAACCACACAGAGAAAGAGACATGAGCATGCAGAGATACACTAACACACACACACACACCAAATGTACCCTGATAGGGTGTCAGGACCTTTTGTCCTCTTGCTATTGTTGCAGGGAGAATAATGATGATGAAGCCTAATACATAATTCCTCTGTGTTACAACAGAAACCCTGCTTGTCACTCAGGGCTATGCAGGCTTAAAGCAGAGCCTTTTCATCCTTGGAGGAACCGTACTGTATAATTGGTGAAACTAAACCCTGCGCCTACATTTACATTTTGACTCATGCGACAGAGTCTCATTCAGAGCCATGTCTCTGTGCTGCTGGTTTTTCTCCACGAAGGTACAACTCATGTCCAAAGCCATTTGTGCATCTACAAGTATTCCTTAAAATACGACAAAATCTGCTTGTTTTATTACACGACAGCTGCCACAAGGCAGACACACAAGTGCCGGCCACTCGTCACATGTGAACAATGATACACGTACTCAAGCCAAACCAGTGCAAGAGAAAATCTAAACACGTTTCACTTTATAAAAGTGAATTATTATAACACATTGTTCTACTGCTGTAACTTATTAAATTGGAAAATAACAAAATATTTTAGTATAATATTTGTCTTTCTGGTTTTATTTGCTGAGAGCCCGCCTCCATCCCAATACAATGGAGGTGAATGGAAATTTGTTTGTAGTGTTCAAAGCTTTGAAGAACACATTTAGGAAATGATACATTGCCATGTCTTTTCAGAAATGCCCTTTATGCGCTGGATAATCCACAGAACACATTATTAAGCATTTTCATCCTTTGAAAACCACCTACATCGTGTTATTCAGAGAAATCAGGACACATGTTCTGAAAAGATATCTTGATATTGAAATGCTTTCGCAATGACAATGCTGATCTGTTGGTCAGTCGGCCCACCACTTTGGTCCAGGCTGAAGTATCTCAACAACTATTGGATTGACATTCATGAATTCTAGTCACACAGATGATCCCCTGACTTTTCCTCCACCATCAGCAGGAGAAAGGTTTCACTTAACCAGTTAAATATCTTAACATCTATGTATTGGGTTGTATTTGGTACAGAAATGTATGGCCCCTAGACCATGTAGCCCAATGACTTCCTGTGATCTTTCCTTTAGCACCACCATGTGGTTGACATTTATAGTTTTGAGCGAAATGTCTTGACAACTTGGATGGATAGCCATGAAACTTGGCACTGATATTCAATTTATATATTTATATAAGTTAAATTTGTCCAATACTAGAAGAAATAAATAAATAAAAATTAACTACAGTGGAACATCTATTGTGGATAACAAGGACATATGAAGCTACATCAGTGGGAACAGTGAATAACTGCTTTCTACTTGTGGATTCAATACTATACTCTATACTATGACTACATACTCAATGGTGTATGTGTGTGTGTGTGTGTGAAATCAGAAAAAAACAAATTCTCTACTATACTTATCTCACTAAAGGATAAAGATGTCAAACAACAGGGTGCAATGTTAATAAAGGACATGACCCACATGTCAACAACACTGGCAATATGCTCAATATTTACCTTGCAACATGTAAACCATCTTTGAAGATATAAGGAAGATTCATAACTGTGGACAAACCATAAACACACCAAGGTTTTTACAGTTTACACAGGCTGATACTAGAGCTCCCTGCATAAGATCTTGTTTCTCTTTTACAAGGTTGAGTTTATACAAGCTCATAATATTGTTTTTGTGTCTCACAGTGGGATGAGGTCAGTGTCCTGGACGACCGGGGGAAGCTCATACGAACCTTCGAGGTCTGTAATGTCAACCAAAATCCCCGTCAGCAAGACAACTGGTTGGCTACACCTTTCCTGTACCGCCACTCTGCTCCACGGGTGTTTGTCACGCTGCGTTTCTCAGTGCGTGACTGCGCCAGCCTGCGATCACCATCACCCACCTGCCGAGAGACACTCACCCTGTACTACAAACAGGCCGACTCCCAGAGAGAGCTGGAGAGGACCTGGGTAGCTGAGGTGAGGCACGAGAGCAACACTGAATGTGCTACATCACAATTACCATAGCTTTGTATTTGCAAAGTCTTTTATATTATTATTATTAGGTTATTATTATTAGTAAGTTACACTGATAATCATTTTGTCTTGATGAATGACCCTAACAAGAATCTAACAGAATCCCAGGATTCAATTTTAATTCTATCACAATCATGTGATATAAAAGAATAATTGTGCAAGATCTTGTTAGCTTGACACCTCTGACAAGCACAGATAAGCCATTTTCCAGCTTCTTGCAAAATTCAGTTTGAGTCTCATGTATTGCAATACCAATATACCCTCATTCCCAGGCTTCACAGTCAAACTTTTTTCCCCCATCAGACAAGGAGACTAAAAATTTTTTATCTATTTGATGAACATAGGGCATCCAGACTTGGTGGTCCAGGAGCTCTTTACTAAGACCAAACTTAGTTATACAGTAACACACTGTAAGTGTTTATGTCACTAAATGGAGATGTATGTATCACTAAATTAACACACATAGCACCACACAAACTACTTCTTTCTTACAGATTCTTACATAGAGATTTGGCTTTTAGTAAATATTTACACACAGACAGGTGATGCTATCAGAAACTGTAGCTAACTTAAATAACGGACAAAACTAACGTTAACTTGCTAATATATGAGAGAGGTAATATGGCCGACATATCTGACCTGAGACTTGGGAAACTGGAATGTTTTTCTTCAAAATAACAGTGTATAATCTCCCCTAATTACATTTTATGGTAACAACATCAGAATAAATTAAAAACTAAAAGGCGTTGGTTAGGTTAGCATAATCAGATATTTCTGATTCTCTCTAAGCTGGATGAATACCACTAACTTTGAAAGATATATTTATCCATGTAGTTGTAAATAAAAAGTGATACCTTGAATTATTTTTGACAGTTATGTTAAAGTTTGAGATGCTACAGTTGGATTTACACATTTCTTTTTTAATGGTACGGCTTAAAATGTTCAGCAACTAAGATGCTCTGATTTCAACCGAATTTAACAAGGATTAATTCCCCTCAGTTTTGTATATGTTCTGATTTGTTCGCCACTGCCTGAGGCGAACAACCTTCAAAGAATCATTAAGCACAGTAAAATGCAATTTTCATCGATGTAACGCTCATGTCACACCAGAACAGCAAAACCTCTCAACATATGAAAAGGAGTAATTGTATAATCATCCTGAGTATTGTTTTGCCAAAAAAAGCTGTTGAGATTGGCAACCTCTTCAGGCCACACTGGTGTTAAGCACATACTTGTTGAGGACTATGGTTTACAAAACACTGTGGTCTCCAGAAATGTCACTTCAGTCCCACTAATTGCATTTTTCAGGCACAAAATGTAAGACAGTGAGCATTTTAAATTAATCGCGGGAAATCCTCTGAACCTCATGTGCTGTCAAATAAGCAGTTAACGTGTTTTTTTAGTGACTAACACTTGACTGATGAAAGACGTTTTACTTATTTATGCATTTAGTTTCAACTGAGTCTGAGTCTTTCTGCTGAGTCTGAATTGACTGAGCTACATGTGCCGTCATAGTCACGGTGGGAGGGATGCAGTGTTTGTATAGATGAATGCATTCCCCCTTAGGGAAGTGAGATGCTTTTTAAAAATGCAAATCAAACCCTGATGAGAAATCAGAGGAGGGTCACAAGATCAGGAAGCACTGCAGCGCTGAAAGCCTTTGCAGGGACTTGAGCACGAACCCCCACTGTGACCTGCATACATCTGAGTTAACGTACTCCTCTCACTAAAGTACTTCATATTATACATGCATCTGGGAAATATACAGCAAAACTCTGAGCTTGTCTTTCATCTAGTTATTTTCCCTCTTATTTCAGTTTTTATTTAATGCACTGTATGTTTCCAATCCTGGTTCATCTTTCAACTTGCTTTTTTTAACCTCCGTAATTTTCCTCCTGTTTACTTCTTTCCTTCCTGTTAACCACACGTTCTCCCCATGCTATTTTGTGTTCACTTGACCACTCATTATCTTTCCCTCCACTGTCTGCTGTCAACTCTGCTCCTTCCTCACTGCAGTCGTCCACTGGAGAGAAGGACACCAGGGAGGGTTGGGTGAAGATCGACACCATTGCAGCTGATAAGAGTTTCTCCAAGGTGGAGCCCAGTTCACCTCACCAGTATCAACCCAACAGATACAGTCGAATCAACATCAAGACACGCAGCTTTGCCCCACTCACACGGAATGGGTAATTCTCACTGTAAAACACTTTGCCACTCATGTTTTACCAACATCATTGCTCACAAGGGGTGTGAATGTTTTTCCATCTTAACATCTGAACGCTGTTTCAGATTCGTCCTGGCAATCGTCGACAGTGGTGCTTGTGTTTCCCTCATGGGTGTGTCTATCTTCTACCGCCGCTGTCCAGCCACCAGCCTCTACTTGGCATCCTACCCGGCAACTCCCTCAGGGGCGGAGCCGACTGCCTTAGTTCCCGTGAGCGGGACATGTGTCCCCCACAGTAAAGCACAGGGAGGCACACCCCCTCGAATGCACTGTAATGCTGAAGGGGAGTGGATGGTTCCTGTAGGAGGATGTGTCTGTGATGAAGGCTATGAGCCCAATGTCAACGGATCTGCCTGCTTAGGTAAGTCTGAGGAAAAGTGATCAGCTTGATTCCTATGGAGGTGGATGATCTCGACATCATGTCCATGTATCGTAGCTACAGTATATCAGCCATGTGGTAAAGTTGGGTGACTTGTGAGAGACATATTAAATAAGGATTGTTCAAAATTGATCCTGACTTTAATCTCTAATATCCAAACATCTATTCATTTACATTTATTCATTTAGCTGATGCTAAAGTGAAAGCGACTTGCAATTGCTATATATATCAGAGGTCGCACACAGCAACTATAATGTCTTGCTTGTCCATTGTGCCACCCACATTATTCATCACTACCCTACACTATTCATTAGACCCTCCATGCCTGCTAAAGCCCGAAGTCTTTAACGCTCCAGTTTTGTGATGCAGGCATTTATATCAAAAATGTCTCAATCAAAACTCCACTCAAAGTTACAAGATATTTGTTCAAATTAATTCGAGCACAACGGGTAGCCTAAACATAAACTGTGTCGCAGAATTGATGTTCTGTTCCTGCACGCTGCCTCCGCTGCTTCCCTTGAAAAAGCTAGCAAGTCAAGCAGTTAACGGTTACTTTTAGCCACGATTTTTGTTTCAGATTTTATGGTTTCAAATCCAAAAGCTTCCTCACATCACTTTTCAGATGTTTTTTGGTGTCATTATGATCTGTTCAGCAGGCATCATTAGTTTGATCCATTTTGCGCAAAAAGAACAACAATAGCTAGTTTACTGATAGTGGGTCAGATGGAAGAGCATTTATGAATGTTGAATTTAGAATTCAAACAGTTCATTACAGATAAAATATATTTTTAAAAAATTCTCATGTTCAAACAGTAGTTAACAATTCTAATTAAAAAGGGATCCTCCCATTACAAGTGACTCTGATGAGTGAATTTCTCCTTTTAAATGCACAAAGTCTCTCTTTTCAGGAAAACTCATTTAAACTAAAATGTCCAAAAACAAATACTGGTAATCAGTCAACATTTTGGGACAATTTTGACTTTCTGTCAGTTCTCTTTTTAGTTTTTCCTGAGCTACAGAGAAGTGGGTGTCTGGATCAATACCAAAAGGAGCTGCTGTCACTCTGATACACAACTATGTTTGATGTAGAGACCAGAGGGAAACGAGGGCAGGCAGGTCAAGTCAGGATGAGACGAGAGGGGGAGAGGCAGTATTGTATCCACGCAGGGTATTTTTGGCAACATAAGACTTGCAGATATTGTCTCTTATCAATGTAGTTTTATAGACATACCTACAGAAATACAAAGCTGCTATATTGATGATTTTACTGTTAGTTTTGCTGTTAACTTCAGAGGAGATACACATATTGAGGAGCACACAGCTTAGAGCCAGGTAGGTTCAGCAATTGCAAGTGTGCAGTAAGTGGGTGATTGTAGGTGGGGTGGGGGTGGGGGGGGGAGAACAAAAAATTTAAGAGATGTCCAGATGGACAGGAATGGATATAGGGAGAGAGCAGGAGGAGGGAGCGAGGAAGAGAGGGAGGTAGCCACAGTGAGAGGGATGTGACACATTTAGGTCATGGCGATGTAATGGCCACTCGTCTGTGAACAAGTGACAGAAACCGCAGGGGGAGTGGAGGGGAAACAAGGAGAGGTGGAGGGAGAGGGAAAGCTATGAGGATGCAAGTTAATTACTTAAAAAACTGAGCAGGCAAAAAAATCTGTTGGTGTGAAGGGAAAAGAGGGCATGGTTCCACGTGTCTCTTTTGTGTGTATGTGTGAGCATGCAGAAGTATATCTTGCTGTGGAGCTGATATGTTCTTTCCACTCTGTCCACATGTGCTTGTGGGGACTGTGAATGCCAGGATTACAGTAAATAACTAGTCTACCAGGAATTTCAGTGGTGATAATTGCTTAGCTTTCTCGCATGGGGCACCCTCAAAGTCTAACTAACTCCGGCACAATTAATCCTCCAACCCTGCCAAGTCAACTGTGAAATGTGTTCGTGCTCTTTTGCTTTTTATCTGCACTCGGACCGCCACTTGTGTTTGTCTGCATTTGATTGATATTTACTGACAAATCACCCCTCGAAACCCCTCAGCTGCCGGAGCAAAAGCTTCCACTGTCTATGAATGATCTAACACATTGATGCCCATGCTGCTCCAGCTTTTTGTTCCAACTCTCATTTGATTATGTTTTGTTGATCACTTCACTGACTAATGATGTGGATTAGCATCATTACATTGTTGTCCTCTCTGGCTCCCTGGGAATGTTGAGAAAAGAGGCAGATGGTGAACTGGCGATGCAGTCGTCAAGGATTATTACCAGGCGCCGACCCTTGTTCTCACCAGAAAGTGGAGCGCTGAACTTTCTTAACTATTAGAACTTACATTACATTTTGTTCTTGTTTGAATTAAGCACCAAGGATATTTAATAATAGCAGAAAGTGGGCAAATGATGGGCTATACTGCACTGAACTCATGCATTGGTGAGAAGCGGTAATTAAAAACATGCCATTCTAAAAAAAATGTTCATTGTGTTTCTGGTGCCAGCAATTTGAACGGTGAAAAAAAAAAAAAAAGCACATCAAGAAGTTATCTGACATTTATTTCAACTTACTGCAAGTGTGTCACCTTAACCCACATGCATTTCATTAAACACATTACTTAACACATTAACCAGCACCCTTTGAGGACAAATTGTAATACATTTTCTCCATTTTTTACTATTTCATTGCTACAGTGTAAATAAATGCCGTTTGATATCCATGTGAGAATACAAAATCGAACACAGCTTTGTTCCCTCAAGCAAGACATCATTTTTAGGGACAAATAAGGGACTTCCTCCTCCTCCTCTCAGTCTCATGTGGATATGAACATCAGTGTTAAATGCACACAGCTCTAATAGCTTGCTATTTTGAAATTCAAAGCGATGTTTTCTTTATTTGTGAAAGTGGATTATTATGGCAAGGATTTAATACTATAAAAATGAAAAAAAAGGTTAGTCTTTGCAAACTACTTTAGTATTAACATTTGATGCAGTTGTTTAAAGAGACATATTTTTTAGCAATGCTAGCAACGTTGCTTTTCCAGTCACTCAACTCACCACTTTGGTCCAGACGGAAAGGTCTCAACAACTATTGGACAGATTGCCATGAAATTTTGTACAGACATTCGTGGTCCCTAGGAGATGAACTCTAACGACTTTCTTGAGCCTCTGACTTTCGCTTGAGCGCCACCAGCAGTCTAGGTTCCGCTGGAACTGTGTGGGTTTTGATTTGATCAGATTTGAAACTATCGTGGCAACAAAAACGGTCATCAGATTTTGATGCAATTTTTTCTAAATCCTAATTTGTATATGGAAATACTTGACATCATGTATTTCCAATCAAGCCCCGTCCATTTAATCCAGTGAAAAGAGCACAGAATAAAAACAACACAGAAATTTAATGTGTGAAATAACCAAAACTGTCACTCATAGTTAGAAGCTGATTGACAAGGTCAGTTTTCAGGGCCATTAAAACATGTAATTACAACTTTATCATGTGTTTTTACAATTTCTCACTCACTGGACGATCAAAAGATCCCATCCTATCTGTCTGAAATAAAAATGAATCACTAGAAATTACAAGAACTCTTGAGAGGAACTAGAGTCTACTAATCTACTACATGTGTGATGCCTAATTAGTCTTATAATTCAGACTCAGCGAAACAACTCTGCAACATTTGGACTGATGATAAATAAAGTAGCCAACTGAAACATCAAACACTTACAAAACACAGCTGGCATTTTGGAAGACAGACATTAAAAGATAACTCCTCAATTATTTATAAAGCTGTTTATCACAAGCAACGTCTAAAAGAACATTCGGCTTTCACATGATCACAGTGACATTCAGAGCTCAGCTTGGGTGATAAAAGCTCGTCTTCAGTCTTTGGAAAAATCACGAGGACAGTGGCAGATGACAGGCAGCAGCTGTCTGCTATTATTTTTTCTGCCAAATGACAGAACGATGTTTTTCTTCTTTGACATTTGCATCCCACAAGGGAGATGGAGAGGCGGAGGGCACAGGCGGAAACATGACAGAGCATGAGACACAATTACACCTGTTCAGCCAAACATGAAACAGTCCTTTAGTTTCGGGCTTCCCCAGCTGGTCCGAGCTGGCAGTACATCATCCTCAGACAAGCTCCTTCCTCTGTTTGATTCCTCCCGAATATTAAGCCACTGTCGAGGATTTGGGACAAGGATTAGTGCCAAATGCTCAAATGGACTTTGAGTTCATTTGGATCCCTGTTGGTATTTTCTGTGGTGTGTGACTGACTATTATTCAACATGTCAGATTGTCCTGATTTGTCAACCAGAACTCTTAGCACAGACACATCCACAAACTATCCTGAGACACGTTATGTTGGAGAAACAAGAACATTTGGCCAGGAGAGGAAATAAAAGTGGAAGTATGATATTTTAAGTGTGATGGGTTACTCTACTCTGGTCCTAAAAGACACTTTTCACCAAACAGTACTGACAACTTCCTCCATGCAGAGAGTAGGATGGGATGTTTCCTTTTTCCTTTCAGATGAAACAATTCCACTTGTGCCTTTTCTTCATTATTGGCATTCAGTTGCTTTTCTATTAATTAAGGTCGAACTTTGAGCAAAACACAACTGAGTGAAATGATCAATGACATAAAGTATTGACTGTTGGCTTGACAGCCCTGTGGGGGAGTAGCCAGGCGATGATGACAAATGAACCTGAACACTAACACACTACATCACAAGTCGTATGTGTCAAATTTATTGAGCATGCTGGATCATCAGAGCAAGAAGTTTAATGACAAGATGTTTTTATTATTCACAAAATACATTATTTTGTCTCACAATTTTTAAGGATTTGTATTTGTCTAAAACATGCTGTGGAATTTAATATTGTGCACCAATTTCTCAAAATATAAGGAAAGGGAATTATTTTCTTAAAAAAGCCCACATTCCATTTTTGCTACAGTATAGTTCATGAAAAGCTGTTTGTTTATATGAGTAATCA